GCCATGGCTTGGCAGATCCCTCTCATCGGCCGCCTGCGTGCCGAGGGTGTCCCCATCGAGGGTCTGACCATCGGTGCTGGTGTCCCCTCTATCGAGGTCGCCAACGAGTATATCGAGACTCTCGGTATCAAGCACATTTCCTTCAAGCCCGGTTCCGGTGACGCCATTCAGCAGGTCATCAACATTGCCAAGGCCAACCCCAAGTTCCCCATCATCCTGCAGTGGACCGGTGGTCGTGGCGGTGGTCACCACTCCTTCGAGGACTTCCACCAGCCCATTCTCCAGATGTACAGCCGCATTCGCAAGCAGGACAACATTGTCCTCGTTGCTGGTAGTGGTTTCGGTGGTGCTGAGGATACCTACCCTTACCTCTCTGGTACCTGGTCCGCCAAGTTCGGCTATCCCCCAATGCCTTTCGATGGTTGCTTGTTTGGTAGCCGCATGATGATCGCCAAGGAGGCTCACACTTCCAAGAACGCCAAGAAGGCCATCGCTGAGGCCCCCGGTGTCGACAACGAGGAGTGGGAGAAGACCTACAAGGGTGCCGCTGGCGGTGTCATCACCGTCCTCTCCGAGATGGGTGAGCCCATTCACAAGCTGGCTACCCGTGGTGTTCTGTTCTGGCAGGAGATGGACCAGAAGATCTTCAAGCTCGACAAGGCCAAGCGTGTCCCCGAGCTGAAGAAGCAGCGCAACTACATCATCAAGAAGCTCAATGATGACTTCCAAAAGGTTTGGTTCGGCCGCAACGCCGCTGGCGAGACCGTGGACCTCGAGGACATGACCTACACTGAAGTCATCCACCGCATGGTCGACCTGATGTACGTCAAGCACGAGTCTCGTTGGATCGATGACTCGCTCAAGCGTCTGACTGGTGACTTCCTGCGCCGTGTTGAGGAGCGCTTCACCACTGCTGAGGGCCAGGCTTCTCTGCTCCAGAACTACTCCGAGCTCGACACCCCTTATCCCGCTGTGAACACTATTCTGGCTGCGTACCCCGAGGCTGCCAAGCAGCTGATCAACGCCCAGGATGTTCAGCACTTCCTCCTGCTTTGCCAGCGCCGTGGCCAGAAGCCCGTTCCTTTCGTCCCCGTCCTCGATGAGAACTTCGAGTACTTCTTCAAGAAGGACTCTCTCTGGCAGAGTGAGGACCTCGAAGCTGTTGTTGACCAGGATGTTGGCCGTACCTGTATTCTGCAGGGTCCCATGGCTGCTCGCTTCTCCAACATCATTGACGAGCCTGTTCAGGACATCCTCGATGGTGTTCACCAGGGCCACATTGCCGGTCTGCTCCGTGATGTTTACGGCGGTGACAAGTCCAAGATCCCTGTGATCGAGTACTTCGGTGGTAACCTGCTTGGCGACGCCGATGAGCCCGAGTTGGAGGGTCTCACTATTTCCGAGGAGGCCAACAAGGTCAGCTTCCGCCTGTCCTCTTCCACCTCTGCCGACCTACCCAGCCTGGACCGCTGGCTTCGCCTGTTGGCTGGCAACACCTACTCGTGGCGCCACGCCCTTTTCCTGGCCGATGTTTACGTCCAGGGCCACCGGTTCCAGACCAACCCCATGAAGCGTGTCGTGGCTCCCACTCCCGGCCTCTACGTGGAGATCACCAACCCTAACGACCCTGCCAAGACTGTCGTTAGCGTGCGTGAGCCTTACCAGTCCGGCAAGTTGGTCAAGACTGTCGAGGCCAAGGTGCTCGAGAATGGACAGATCGCTGTGTCCATGTTTGAGGGCCGCACCGCCGAGGGTGGTGTTGTTCCTCTGACCTTCCTCTTCACTTACCACCCAGAGACTGGTTACGCCCCCATCCGCGAGGTCATGGGAGACCGCAACGACCGCATCAAGGAGTTTTACTACCGCATCTGGTTCGGCAACAAGGACGTGCCCTTCGACACTCCTACAACTGCCACTTTCAACGGTGGCCGTGAGACCATCACCGCCCAGGCCGTTGCTGACTTTGTTCACGCTGTCGGCAACACTGGTGAGGCCTTCGTTGACCGTCCTGGCAAGGAAGTTTTCGCTCCCATGGATTTCGCCATTGTCGCTGGCTGGAAGGCCATCACCATGCCCATCTTCCCTCGCACCATCGACGGAGATCTCCTCAAGCTGGTTCACCTGTCCAACGGCTTTAAGATGATCCCTGGTGCTCAGCCTCTGAAGGTTGGCGATGTTCTAGACACCACTGCTCAGATCAATGCCGTCATCAACCAGGAGTCTGGCAAGATGGTGGAGGTCTGCGGTACCATCAAGCGTGATGGCAAGCCCATCATGCAGGTTACTAGCCAGTTCCTGTACCGCGGTGCCTACTCGGACTTCGAGAACACCTTCCAGCGCAAGGACGAGGTCCCCATGCAGGTCCACCTCGCCACCAGCCGCGATGTCGCTATCCTTCGCTCCAAGGAGTGGTTCCGCATGGACGAGTCTGACACTGAGCTCCTTGGCCAGACCCTCACCTTCCGCCTGCAGAGCTTGATCCGCTTCAAGAACCAGACCGTCTTCAGCAACGTCCAGACCATTGGTCAGGTCCTCCTGGAGCTCCCCACTAAGGAGGTCATCCAGGTTGCCTCCGTGGACTACGAGGCTGGTGTCTCTCACGGTAACCCCGTTATTGATTACCTCCAGCGTAACGGTACCTCCATCGAGCAGCCCGTCTACTTCGAGAACCCCATCCCTCTCAGCGGCAAGACTGCCTTGGAGCTGCGTGCCCCGGCCTCCAACGAGACCTACGCCCGCGTCTCTGGCGATTACAACCCCATCCACGTTTCTCGTGTTTTCTCCAGCTATGCCAACCTGCCCGGCACCATCACTCACGGCATGTACAGCAGTGCTGCCGTCCGTTCCCTCGTGGAGACCTGGGCTGCTGAGAACAACATCGGTCGTGTCCGTGGCTTCCACGCCTCCTTGGTCGGCATGGTTCTGCCTAACGACATGGTCGCCGTGAAGCTGCAGCACGTCGGAATGATCGCTGGTCGCAAGATCATCAAGGTCGAGGCTAGCAACAAGGAGACCGAGGAGAAGGTTCTCATCGGTGAGGCCGAGGTTGAACAGCCCGTCACCTCCTACGTCTTCACCGGTCAGGGCTCTCAGGAGCAGGGCATGGGTATGGAGCTCTATGCCAGCAGCCCTGTCGCTCAGGAGGTCTGGGACCGCGCTGATCGCCACTTCCTGGAGAACTATGGCCTGTCTATCATCGACATCGTCAAGAACAATCCCAAGGAGCTCACCGTTTACTTCGGTGGTCCCCGTGGTAAGGCCATCCGCCAGAACTACATGGCCATGACCTTCGAGTCTGTTAATGCCGATGGCTCCATCAAGTCTGAGAAGATCTTCAAGGAGGTTGATGAGAACACTGCTTCTTACACCTACCGCTCTCCTACCGGTCTTCTTTCCGCCACTCAGTTCACCCAGCCCGCCCTGACCCTTATGGAGAAGGCTAGCTTCGAGGACATGCGCTCCAAGGGTCTGGTCCAGCGTGACAGCAGCTTCGCCGGTCACTCGCTGGGTGAATACTCTGCCCTGGCTGCTCTGGCCGATGTCATGCCCATTGAGAGCTTGGTTTCCGTCGTGTTCTACCGTGGTCTGACCATGCAGGTTGCCGTCGAGCGTGACGAGCAGGGTCGCTCCAATTACTCCATGTGTGCTGTTAACCCCAGCCGTATCTCCAAGACCTTCAACGAGCAGGCCTTGCAATACGTTGTCGAGGTCATTGCCGAACAGACTGGCTGGCTTCTGGAGATTGTCAACTACAACGTTGCCAACATGCAGTACGTCGCTGCTGGTGATGTAAGTCTACTCAACACCCTTCCACCCCTTCTCTCACAACTAGATTTACTAACATGAACCCTTCCAGCTCCGCGCCCTCGACTGCCTGACCAACCTCCTGAACTTCCTCAAGGCCCAGAACATCGACATCCCCGCTCTCATGCAGAGCATGTCGCTCGAGGACCTCAAGGCCCACTTGGTCAGCATCATCCAAGAGTGCGTCAAGCAGACCGAGGCCAAGCCCAAGCCCATCCAGCTGGAGCGTGGTTTCGCCACTATCCCACTCAAGGGTATCGACGTTCCCTTCCACAGCACTTTCCTCCGGTCTGGCGTCAAGCCTTTCCGTTCCTTCTTGCTCAAGAAGATCAACAAGACTACCATCGACCCCTCCAAGCTTGTCGGCAAGTACATCCCCAACGTCACTGCTCGTCCCTTCGAGATCACCAAGGAGTACTTCGAGGACGTCTACCGCCTCACCAACTCTCCCCGTATTGCCTCCATCCTGGCCAACTGGGAGAAGTACGAGGAGGGTACTGAGAACGCCGCCCGCGCTGCTTAGATGACCACTAGTCCTTGGCCTGTGTCCTTGGAGACTGGGAGTTGATTTCTCGTGATGTGTTGTGATGTGATTCCCCACTGCGATACTTGTGTTTTCTTTTTCCTTTTTTTTTGTCTGATAGAATGACCTGCTTGTGGGTCGTGTGATGTGACATGTCTTCAAACTTGGCGCTGTTGAATTGTTGTTGCATGTATATGTTTCTTGGTTGTGTTTCGTCTCTTCTTAGTTTTTACATTGTCAATTGGGTTTTCTTATAGAATGTTTCCTTGAGTTCAGTAAAGTATCTATCTAGCCTAGGTTATAATAAGAGGGTTCTTATTGAAAGCTTCTTTTCAAGCATCTTGTGTTTGCTAGAGATGAGTCGATATCTCTGATTCATTCTAGACTGATCATGGAAGGAAGGCCCGTGGATTGCATTCTGCTGACCAGGTTACGTACGATTCAGGGGGCCTGATCATCATGTCGAGGAAGCCATGTACATATACTAGGTCTACAAAATACTCTTTCAACACAGAAGAAAAGTTTCATAATCTCCATATCAAATCCATTCATTCTCTAGCCCCCCTAGCTAGCCATATTATCATACAAACATCAGAATCCCTTCCCCGCGAGACATAACGTCAAAATCAGTAGTAGAAGACATTACCTGTCTCAATAACACCCGAATGGAAGCTTAAGTTGGCCTCCAGGTACCAGGCCGCAACAACTTATCCTCCTTGCCATACAAACCCACGTCCTTGACGATGGCAATGAAACGGCGATGATTCTCCTTGGACTCTCCAATGCGGGGACGGAAAACGCGCAGAAGGGCGGAACTGGTAATGCCGGTAGCTGGGATTGCGGCGTGGATCTCGGCGGGTGTGGGGAATGGTTGTCCGGATGGGATTGGGGTGGAGCGGCCGCCTGTTGTTTATGTATAAATGGTCAGTAAATCATATGGATGCATGGTGCTAGGAGCATATAAATTCAATATGGACTTTATCATGGGAATGGACTTGCCTCTTGTTCCATCGGGGCTTGCGGCTCGGCTACCGGGGAAATGGGAGCCAGCAACGGGGCTCGCAGCGCGGGATCCTTGGGGAGTGCCACTGCGCGAAGTGGCTGATGGGGGGTTTAGTCTCAGTTTCTTGGTCTTGCCGCTCTCGCTCAGCTCGCCTCCGGATCCAGCACCGACATCGACGTCGCTGCCAGATCCAGAGCCGCCGAGTGGGAGGTTTCGAATGCGTTTCTTACCGGCCTGAAGATTGATTAGCGTTCGTCTCTATGGTCATTTAATCAAGGGTGGTTAGAAGATTGCTTACCTGTGCTGCAGATGGGGACATTGGCCGCGAGGTGGGCTGATGCATGTTCTTCGCCTTCTTTCGAGAAGTGTCCGTGCCGCTAGCGTCCGAGCCTGGGGATCCCAGACGCTTGCGAGAACCGGCTGGCTTCTTAAGCGCATCGGTGTGCTTTGGACGGCCCGAGGGCGTATTGCTGCCCTTGGTGGATGTAGCCGAGTCCTTCTCTTTCTGGATCCTTTCCTCCTCGGCCTTGCGCTTTTCCTCTTCCTTTTGGCGTTCGACTTCGCTGTCGTCAGAGCTCTGCGCGCAACCATATTAGTATCTTATGTACTTGGCAGCTCAATAAAAGGATTTTCTCACCTCCTCATCGGTGTATGGATTAACATCGGAGCCACTGCTGTAGTCAAAGTTCCTCTCTCGTTTCTTGAGAGCCTTGCGAACCTTCTTGCCGAAAGTTCGACGCGCTTCACGCTCCTTTTTCTCGCGCTCCTCCTCATCCTCGTAGTCCTTCTCTTCCTTGAGATCGAAGACGTTCGCCTTCAACTGATCCTCCTTGATTCGTTGCTCGGCAGCCTTAGTCTCTTCGTCTTGCTCGTCATTGAACAAATCAGCATGTTCTTCGTCGTCGGCAAATCGATCCTCTTCAAAGTCCATTTCACTGGCCTCCAAGCCTTCTCTACCGGCAACGCCACCCTGCTTTCCGGCATAGACTTTGTGCTGCTTGGCAAATAGTTCCAGTTCTTGCTTCTCCTTGACCTCCTTTTGCTTCTCCATGAACCACCGAGGATCCTTCATGCGCTTCGACATATGCTTCTCCGCCTCCTCAATGGTCAAAGCCTTGAACTGCTGCTTAGCGCTGAACTTGTACCACTTCTCAGCAGGGATCATGCGCATCTTGTTGTTCTCGAGAACAAAGACCGCATGGGTCTCCGACAACGCGGCTTCGTAGTTGCCCACCCAGATATTGCGGTTATCGAAATCCTCAAGGTGCCATGGCAGAGCTTCCTCATACTTGATGCGAGCTCTGGCAATTTCCTCCTTGGTCATGTCAGACTTGAAGACTTGTTGTGTTTTCTGCTTGGGAGCATTCGGTCTCTTTGTAGTCGACCCGACCGAGGGCGCAATCTGCGCCATATTCTCAGCACGTTCCTTATCGCGCGCGGCTCTCCGGGCATCCAGGGCCTCCCGCTCAGCCTCGTCCAGCTGCTGGCCATCGGGTCCGACCATCTTCTCGCCATGGGATTCATGGGCTCGGGCGCGCGGGTCTCGACGATGCAGCCTGACGGGTCGCGTGAACTGTGATTCATCGCGCGGGTCGATCGCTCGTTTCGAAGAGAACCGGGCGATGTGGTGTTTCATCCCTTCGCGCAAAGCCTTCCGCGTAGTAACCAGGGGGTAGTCGGTGTATTTCTGAGAAAGCAAAGGCCCGCTGAATCCGTTGACAGTGCGTAAATCCGGGACAGCGGCTGGTCGGGTTTTCTGAGGCAGTGGTAGGGACGGAGTACCGGGGACCGAGGGACGTGCGGGCAAGGTTTTGATAGCTGTATTTGCGCCGGGAGCAGCTCCCAAAGGCCTCGCAGGCCGTCGCTTTGGACGAACGAGGGGATCGCCTGCGTTCCGGGCGCGGCGAATCCTCATGGGAGGAGGAGGCGCACCGTTGGACCCGGTTGGCGTCGGGCCGTTGGAGGCGTTGGTTGGAGTCGACATTTTCTCGGAGATGAGAGCGTGAGCGGCGCGTCTTCTCAGTTCAAGGAAGCGATATCACAGCACATCTACCGGGGAGGGATAGATGGGGGCTGGGTCAACAGGATGAAAGAAGACGAGAGTCTGGGAGCTGGAGTTGGTCACGGGCAGTGATGACACGCTTAGGTAAGCACGGAGCTGTCATCCTTACTGAAAGGTTATCATCCCCTTATCGGCTTATCGGCACGACTGGTCTACTCTTTGTTCCTTTGATCTTTTTCATCTTTTTTTACTTCAATATCAAAAAGAAATCATTTCGTCACATTCATATCTACATTGAATGATACACTCTATATCGTAATGGTGTATTTACTCCTCACTTTGGGTCAGAAATGCCTCATTCACCAAATTTCTGCCCAGGCTCCAGACGCATGTACGGGCATGCGATCCAGTCGCATCCCTGTTTATAGATCTCAGTTCCCCACCACTTGAACCCATCAACCCAGCCGGGATAAATGAGGCAGAAGAAGACAACTACCACGGCAAATGCCAAACCCGAGTCTAAAGCTGCTGAGAGTGTCATCGCGTATTTCTCCCACCAGGCGGTCCTGCGTCGGCGGATCACGTAGTTAAACGCGAAACAGACAAGCGCCCAGGTAGAGAAGTTCAACCCCGTCGCGGGTGGAATCCAGCTCAGGCTACCAAAAAGAATGGGGAAGTTGACCTTCCGCCAGAAATTCTTCTTGCTGCGACGGCCCAGAATCCAAGCTGCGACGGGTGCTGCGGCGCCAATTAAGAACGCCCAGACGAGAGGTCGATAGAGACCACCTGGGCCAAAGAATCGCTGCGGTCCAACAACACCCCAGAGGATACTGCCGTTGAAGTGAACTCGTGCAATAGGACAGTTGAAGCCATTTATAGCCTGGGGGGTGCAAAGTCCCGGAATATAGGAGAACATCCAGTTCAAAACACCAATCTGTGTCAGGCTGGATACCAGGGTCGCCACCATCTGCACACCAAAAAGGAGGCGGGGTGGAATTTTCATGTAGTGCCCGAGCTTGAGATCTGACGAAAATTTGATGCCCTGTGCTGAGCTAATGTAAGAATATGTCACGAAGATCATGTTCGCAACTGGCCTTCCAGGGAAGACAATGCCACACAACAGCTGGCAAATGAGATAGAGACTGCTATGTTGGTTTGTGACAGCCATGATGATACCGACGGGAATGAAGAACACGCTGGTGATGAGCAGGGCCAGAAAAAGACCGTACCAGGGTAAGTGGACCGGATAGCTTTGAAACGGGGAAACATTAGTACTAGACAGAGACTTCGCAGGGATGAGGGAAACATACTGCTCAACAGTGTAGGTGGCAATGACCAGCATTGTAATGAGCACAATCAGGTACCACGTCAAGGGAGCGTCCTTGTATCGCCTCATGAGACGGCAATGAACATCCTCCATCCCCAGAGGCATCTCCCGACTAGGATCATGAGAACTGACTCTCGATGCCTCACGCGGGTGTCGGGATGGGGAGGTATGTCCATTTCCTGTTCGTAGAGGCTGGTATGTCTCAAATCCGGGCACATCGCTGCGTTCCTCGAAAGCCTTGCGAGTTTGGTGCAAGATGTCCTTACCATACCAGCAAATGGTGTGGGTCACCAGGGAGGTCAGCGCAGCAAATTGGACGCCGTAGGACAGCACATAAGTGATGGGGAGGTAGACGGGCGAATACTCTTCATATGCCTTTTGGTCGAAGAGGAAGTCCGGCGTCAAGATTCGGCTCACGTCATATGGGTGGCCCGTGTTGTCAAACACTGCCGCAGACAGGATGGGCATGTAAGAGGAGAAAAGCACATTTTTATAATCTGTCTCGGCATATTATCAGTCACCCATTGAGCACACAGCTGAGGAAAAGAATCCCAAGACTTACACAGGATCGGAGCGATGATCCAGATGACCACCACCAGGCCCGTCACAATGTTGGCTGCTGCCCACCACGGGGTGAGCAAGGGTGACCCAATATATGCGATTTGGGCCCAGTCAAAAGTCAAAGGTAACATTCCAAGGCCCGAAGCAACCCCAAACTAGAATGATCAGCGGTGTTCTTATACATACAAATTTCATGTTTCCAGGGGATATATGAGCACATACAAGATTCGACACAACCACATTCTTGGGTGCGAACCAAGTCACCACGTTAAAGTAACTGAGGGCTGGCATCAGCAAGCCCGGTACAAAGTACCAGACGAAGGCGCCAGCCCACACAAGAATGAAGAACTTGTAACGGGAGATGCTCCATCCATCAGCCTTCTTATTGGCAGTCTTGTGCATGGTGGAAAACATGGCGGTAGACATGAGCGTCCCCGGCCAGATCATGGCCGAGGGCCGCACAAGGAAGCGTCTAGTCAAACCGGCAAAGGCATAACCCAAGACTTGAGTTGAAATAATGAGCAACAGCTGATACACGATCGGAACCTCTTGCTGATAGAATTTATGTTGCTCGACGATGACCTGGGAAGAGACTGTTAGATTGAAATCTTGTAAATGAGCTTTGAAGAGAGTACTAACATCAGTGGCAAACGCAAATCCAAAAGAAACGTTGCTGCTGATATAGACGCATGCATGTTCCTTCTCGTTCCAACGCCCTTGGCCAAGCCAGAGTCGGATCCTCGTGGGCCAAGACGGATCAGGAGCGTCGAATTCGTCAGATGGTGACTCTCGATGGTCGAGAGTTCCATTCTCAAAAACTTCTATGGGGTCATTTGTCCGTTTGAACAGGACATCCCAAAACTTGCCCAACGGATGGACCAAGACCAACGCAATAATTGGAGTGATAGCGACGCTCGGGTAACGCAGAGAAAAGAAGAGATTGGCGGCAGAACCGGTCAGGGAGAAAAGTAATGCAAGAATCCACATGCGGGGGGCTATATGAGTACAACGGTCAGACAGGGTTTCACCACGCGGGGTAGAGCGAGGGTCGGGCATGAACTTGCGGGGGAGAAGAACGTACTATTGATGGAGAGCGTAATATCATCAGTTGCCGGAACCGTCGCTCGGACTTGAGCATAGCTACATAGTCTCGCGTCAGTTAATTGTTCGACTTTCCAATGCCGAGGAGCAGGGTCGCCCGCCGACTTGGACCGATTGAAAACAGAACGTACGGCGAATTATCCGGAGGATCCTCATCGAACGGCTTTGCATCTTCGTCATCAATATCCAATACATCCTCGTCGTCGGTTGTCATGTACGGTGAAGACGCTGGGGTTTCCTGCGTCACCGGGTTCCCAGGTACCGCAAGGCCCGTTGCGAATGAGTACTTGGAATCGGCACCCATTCCTACATCCGATATGGCCGATGAAGGTCGCCGCCTGTGTGCATTCGTGTATAGAGCACTACTCCTTCGCCGTCGCCGACGCTGTTGCAATCCATCATTCGAAGGGCCTTCGGCACAGCTGTCGAAGCTAGCCCTCTGTGACCTGCCGGGCGACCGTTCCGAGGCAGGCTTATCTTGTCGAGTAGCCGGATCGGCATCCTCGTCATTATCGTCAGACTCGTCCTGCGGGATTCGCACAGCTCCATACGACGACGAGCCCAGCGCGGGCGACGTCCGGAGAAGAGGCGTGCGCGACATGAAAACCCGGAAGCGTTGGGCGAGCGACTTGGAATCGTCGGGCGGGGTTAACTCGAGGGGCTCGTCTGGGTCGCTACTTCCATTGTCGAGTCTGCGAGGGTCCTGCTCGGTGTGCGTGGGGGAGTCGGCTTCCTCGTGGGACACGTCGGAGACGTCAGAGTCGGGATCGTCGACTCGGTCTGATTCGGCGGGGAGCTCTTGTCCCCTCGGGTTCGGGGGACAAGTCCGCTTCCGCGTCTGCAGTGGGATGGCGGCCGTCGTGACGGTGGTGCGCAGTGGTGAAAGGGTCGCTTATTTGGGGTTAGAACATGCAGTAGTCTCGCTCGTGGGCGAGTCAAGCGAGGTTGATGGAGCTTTAAGAGTTGCAGTCAGTGCCAGTCAGGTTGATCTCGAGAAATTGGAGAAGATGAGTGGTGTGATGAGGGTGGAGAAGCCCCACAGTCAACGAATCCATCACGAGGAATTCCACCAGTTTTGAGAAAGTATGAAATCAACTCAAGTTCTATCTTAATCATTGTTGTTCGAATGTCTTGGGATATGTGATGACAGCAAAGCCACGGTATATGATCAAAGTCTATCAGGATATACAATATATAAAAGTCATCAATGGACATGTTCAGAACAATTCCACCACCTCCTCATCCTCATTCTTTGGTTGAGGAGCCTCAATCTGCTTCTGAGCCTCAGCCAATTCAGCATCAGTCTTTTCACCATCACCCTCCTCATCGCGCATAATCACTTGCACCAGTCGGTCACAAGCCTCCCGCACCTCCTCATCCTCCACGTGGAGATGGCATTCCCGAACGAAGGGGTACACTTGCGCGGCGCGGATCTTTTCTCGGCCCTCCCGAGTCGTAGTCAGAAGGAGTAGAGTCTCTAGGTGGGTGGTGATGATAGTGTTGTCGCTATCTCGCTTCTTGTCGGGGGGTAGGAGCTGTAGATCCGGTAACATCGACATCATCTCGTCATCTGGGAACTCTTCCGGTCCCGCGATCGGAAGAAGCAGATATGGCAGCAAGTTGACATCGTCCTCGCCGAAGAGCATGGGGTGCGAATCGACATCAAAGGCCACATTCTTGATGGTGGAGGCAACTCCCTTTCGTCGGATATCGCTCTTGTGTTCCGTGAAGACGGTCAGTTTAGTGATGGGAACCACTCCGTCGTATTCCTGCCGCGTGGTGAAATACGCTCTCCCCGTCTCGGATTGGGATATATCGGCAAAAAGATAGGAGAGGTAGTCGAAGTTGGCGTGCTTGTTGAGGTCGCCCTCGGCACCCTTCACGAAGCAGTCCATCAGCTGGTCGATGGCATTCTCGGAGGTGGAAACCGCCGCGGGGGCTTTCCGCTTCAGGGTGTGGAGTTTCTTGAGGTGGTCGGATTTGACGAGATTGGCCAGCAACATGGCAAACTCATCGGCGTTGGGCTCCTTGACATTCTGAGGCAGTGCGATATCTTGTTTAGTTTTCATGAACCGCAGGCTAGTGTCATACGAGAGGGCACACGAGCACTCACCATGAGCTTCTTCAGCAACGTCTCGAGGAATTCGTCATCGCTGGCCAGGCACTCCAGGATCTCCTCGTCGCTGGAGAGGTTGATAAGGATCGTCAAGGCATTTTTCGCAATAGGCTAGTAAGACAAATACTATGTCAATTTTTGATTCTGAGGGAGCCGGAAATTATTGCACGCACGGTGTAGTCTTTGGCCAACAGCTTCAGGTCTCGCACGGGGAGTAGTTGCTGTCGCTTGAAGAGACCTGGCTGGGCCGTGGAGAACCCAACAAGATTCTCACAGGCTGGATAATTGTATATGTATCAGAGATGGGTCGGTGCGACGTTGAATTTTGGGTATTTGGGACACGGGAGACCGAAATTGGAGGGCGCTGGCGGGGTTCTTACCAATCTGTCGAATCTGCGTATTGCCATGGTGAAGGAACTCCACCAGCTAGAGAGGAAGTCAGTTAGTGAATTTGGAGATCTGTTCGCAAAGGTTCTTGAAGTTTACATCTTCTAGTTCTGTCGGCATCGTGGAGGGGGGATATGTTGAAGGTAGTATGGATGGAACTGATCGCACGAAACTTTTTTTCCCCGAAGTGGGGGGCGACGTCACTTACTGGTGGGAGATACAATTGGAAATTACAAGAGATGTATAGCGAAGCTCATAGAATTGATTATGATAGCAACGACATAGAATGAAAAAACCAATGGGTATGATCTTAAAATCTCGATTTAAAACTGCTACTATTATTTCATAATATCTGCTCACATTGAAAAATGTACAGAATTACCAATTCTACAACTCCCCGCATTGGCCTATCGATATGAGGGGCTCCCTCCCTCCTCCGGCCGCAAGTCCGCAACTTCCGCGGGGCTTTTGATCTTCTCCTCCTTTTCGACTTCTCAATCATTTAACACCAATCATCCACAATGGCCACACCCGATTTGAAAGAAATCCATGACTTCTTAGTCTCACTGGCCTTCAAGGCTGGCGATATTATTACCAATGCCATCCTAGACAACAACAACAGCGAAACTGGCTCCAAAAAGAACAGTATGTTGAAACGGACGGACGAACATCATTTGGAAAACATGAGATGAAATCTTGCTTATACGTGCTATTTTGCCTTCAATAGGTGCCGACTTGGTCACCGAGTATGACCGCGCTGTCGAGAACATGATCTCGACTTCATTGAAGGCCAAATACCCCGATTACGAGTACGTCCCTCTCCTTTGAACCCTATACCTGCCAATCCAGTCCTCCAAATAAACACACCAATGCTACTTCTACTTCAACCTTGATCCTAACTCTTTTCCCCTCTCAGATTCCACGGCGAAGAAACCTACGACCCCACCCGCCCCCTAACAGAAGCCCCAACCTTCATCGTCGACCCAATCGACGGCACAATCAACTTCGTCCACAGCTTCCCCTACGCCTGCGTATCCCTCGGCTTCGCCATCAACCGCATCCCCACCGTCGGCATCGTCTACAACCCCTCCACAAAAACCCTCTACTCAGCAATCAAGGGCCAAGGCGCGTTCCGCAATCAGGAGACCCGTCTACCCCTGAAAGGCGACCATGTCGAGCCCCTGTCTGGTCTACCTAATGCACTTGTGAGCATCGAATGGGGTTCTGACCGGAGCGGGCCGAATTGGGAGACCAAGGTGCGCACGTTTGAGAAGCTGGGGCAGTCGAAGGAGGATGGGGGTGCGATGGTGCGCTCGTTCCGGAGTTTGGGGTCTGCGGCACTGAACTTATGTTCTGTTGCGGAAGGGACGATGGATTTGTATTGGGAGGGTGGGTGTTGGGAGTGGGATGTGTGTGCTGCTTGGGTGATTTTGACTGAGGCCGGAGGTATTATCGTGGATGGTAACCCTGGAGGTTGGGAGGCTTCTGTGGATGGGCGGAGATATCTGGCTATTCGGGGTGCGCCGGAGGCTGGTCAGAAGGAGATGGTGGAGGAGTTCTGGAGTTATATCCAGGGTAGATTGGAGTATTAGCATGGGCAAGTCGATGATATTGATACCGAGATTGTAAATGGGAATAGAGATGAAAATAGGGTCGATCTGTATAAAGGAGGTTAAGGGTCGAGTTAAATAGAAATGCATTAATTACAGGGTATTTAGGAAGGCAAATTATTATGTACAATTTCACTGTTGGCATATACTCCCTTCCAAGGAGACCGTTTCAAGCAGTTGGCGGAGCTGGAGACCATCGAAACTCGGCATGCCCGTCCACATCCAACCCGGATTCACGATCGTCATCTTCATCGATCTGCCGATCCGTCCATCGCGCCGAGTCCTGTCGAGAAACATCGGTATAGTGAGAGTAGGATCTTGTATGTGTGCTCTCCGCCTCGTGGGACTCATGCTCAGCAGGCAATGCATCAGCTAGATCATGTAGCTGAGGGTAATCTCCCGAGCCAGAAGGGCTAACGGCACCCCCATGCGTATGGCCTGGCCCAGTGCCCTCATGCTCGGTTGACTCCCCCTCGGTGGTATCAGACTGGCCTTCCACTTCGTCGCCGGAGCTGGTGGGTCCGACGTTCAAGGCCTTGGCCCGTTCGGCATTGCATTTCAAGGTATCATCGACCTCAACGTTGGGAGAGTGACCAAAGTGTGTGTCACAAAGGTGCTTCACAACAGGCCATCCATAGGCATTGGTGAACATGCGACGCACAATGATGTTATTGTGTGCGTCGGGTTCAAGGCGAACAAGGACCTTGCGCCAGGTCAGGTCGCGGTGGTAAGCTCTGGCGATTTTCTCCTCGACCTTCAGCCCACTTTCACTACCTTTGGCGTTGGGGGTAGAACTAGACGGTATCTGCGTGGCCTGAGGAGGCGCCGTTTTCGCATTCTTGGGTTGTAATGAGGCGAATGTCAATGTCCGACGCTTGACTGGCAATGGAGCGGGAATATCTTCAGGATGGTAAATGCGGTCATGGAAGATGGTTCGAGGCCGGGCAGCAGGGTCCAGAATGAAGTCAGCCGGGGGTAAAGGTGGCATCAACACATCACCTGCCGACTCGAAGAAAGTGGTCTTGGGAGGTGTATTGACTCCGATGTCTTCTTCGTACAGAGAATTTCCTCGAACCACTGGTGCTGGGGACTCATTGGGATCGAACGAGGCGAGAGTCTGGCTGCGCTTGTAGATCTTGGCATGCTTGCCACTAGGATGGTGTGGCTTTGGCTCCTTAGGGCGGAAGAAGGCGAGGAGGCTGCTGAAAGGCCCCGAGTTGTTTTCTGAGACGTCCTTGTGCACTGACTCCGTCCCCACACTACTTGCATGCAGGGACGACTTTCGCCGGGCAAGGAATTGCCCACGATCTGGTGATGATGCATCTTCAGGTCGGGCAAGTTCTTCATCCTCTTGCAAGGGTTGCGCTTCATCGGTAGCCCCGTGGCTCGGCCCATCTTGACCTTCGCCCAAGCGTGGGATCTCATCAGGGCGGACTAATCGCGGAGACTTTGAGTTTGCACCAGTCAATTCCGCCCAGCCCCATTCAGCCATGGTGCCGACGATCCCGTTGTCCCTTCTCGCTTTCTCAACTCGGTCCAGGCCTCGCCAGTCGAGGAAAAGAAGGCACGACGTCCGCAAGGGAACAATCCCATCATTGACCACGTTGGAGTACACGGTCCGATGGTGGAACTTTTTAAGTACCTCATGTGCTGGGCCACAGGGTAAAATACGCAGCAGCGGTTTTGATCCAGGGTCTGTCTGTGTCTGATCCTTGGCCGAGTCTCCTCGGCCACCAATGATGGCACTCCAGCCACTGCGTACCTTTGGTGATGTCCAGCTGAGTCCAAGATCTTGTCCGGTCCGTCCGACCAAGCCCAGGTCTAGAGCAAATCGCACGTATAGCGGGTTCTCGTTGCTCAGACCCAGGAAAGGAGATGCAAGGGCAATGAAATTGACCGGTTGAATTCGCTCGAAGAATTCCGGCGAATGCTTCTGTATGTATGCGATAGCATATGTTTGGATCAGGCCGCCAAGAGAATGCCCGATAAAGCTGATGCTGGTGATTTTGTATGCATGGTCATCGCCGTCGATGACATCCTCGTGATTCGCAGGGGTTGAGTGCGGCTGGAGGGAGGGTTGAGCGTGATCTTTGCGAGCACTGAACGGGCGAGGGAATGACTTTGCCTTGCCAGTTTTCAAAGGATAATATGGCTGATCAGGGTATGTCATCAATAGAACATATTTAGCCAGGCGTTTGCCGAGATATTGAATACCCCTTTCAGTGCGAACCGCGTTGCCAGAGAATCCTCGAACGATGACTTCTTCGTCGTCGTCGTCGTCGTCGTTTTCAGTGCTGTCTTCGCTCTTGTTTCTCTCTTCGGTACGAGCCTTCTTTTTAGCCGCAGCAGCGGCATCGATGCTTTCCTTTAGATAGAGCATGTCCGCACCCAGGTTACTATGCAATCCATGTGTGATCACCACCAGATGAACCTTCTTCTTCTTCCTTGGCTTCGCCTTAGTCGTACTGCTCGTCGCTTCTTCAGGTGAAGGATGTTGAGAATTACAGTCGGTCCGCTCGGGCGCAACCTCTGACGCCTCAGATGTCCCTGATGGCAGTGGCGGGCTATTCCACAAGCTGCTCGTATCGTCAACACGCAGAGTAGTAGATTTTGAGTACACTCCACTGGTGGCAATGACAGGCTGGCCCCTTGTGCCTCCCATCGGCCAGTGGTCTTGTAATTTACCTGGGGGTTCATGACCAGCCGCCGCCGTGCCACCCGCGGAGAAGTAGTCGATGGATTTGGCATCACGAGCAACCAATAGCTCGAAATGAACTGCAGCACTGCTCGAAAATATGACTTGAGATACGATTTCAATCACCCAGGTCACAGTCCGGTCACTCTCGGACCCCAAATGACCCACGGCTAGGTTGTGCCCGTCCCCGAAGCGCGCCGGCATCTTGATAGTCGCATCCCAGCTTCCGCCTGCTTTGAGGTATGGCTCAAATTGCGGGATGCCTTCGGTATCCTGCTCTTCATATTTGGCGTTGGGATCGAATGTAGATGGGTAGCAGGCCGCGTATAGTGTGTATGGGCCATGGAGATAGGCGGCGCGGAGGGGAATCGCGGAGGTATTCTTCACTCTCACATGAAGTTCAGAGGGGATGGGCAAAATTGGATCGGATGCGGGGGTATAGCTGATAGTATATCTAACAAGGCACAGGGAGTTCTGTTAGCATCTCCTTTTTTGTACGACCAGCGATAGCCAAGCAGAACCGCTCGTGACAGCCATCTCCGGCAGGTCCGCGGAAGGACCTGGAGGACCTGGAGGACTTACCGAATAATCTCTCCTACTCGTACACTCCCCGTCTGGTGAACCAACAGCATATCGGCAGTCGGGTTCTCTTCCACAAGACTCTGGCGCCACCCAGCGAGCGTATAGAATCGGGGTGCGCCTTCGAAGCGGCTAGCAGCCGGTGCTTGGTCGGGAGTCTGCGATGCGGAATAGGTTCGGGGGTTATGAGCATCGGATCCGGTGGATCGTTCCATGACCTAGCAGTGGGCGAGAGGAATCGCAGACTCGGACAGGCTGTAAGGGTACATGAGGGGAGGATAAGAGACACGAGCGTGAGGTAGTTGAAGGGTTGTGCATGTGAGCGGGTGATGGTTCCTGAGGTACTGACCGGCGATCACGTCCGCAGTCGTCTCCCCTTTTTAAACCTTTTACCTTCCGCCAGTCTTTGCGCATGTGCCTGAATCGACATTATTATTTAGGTATTCTGGATCGATGAGGGATAGTTTAGATAATAGATTTAAATTGTTAGTAATGCTTTTATTTCCTTATACCACTAAGCCTATATGATCCATAAAAAAGATGTCCAGTGGGGCTTTCGGTTTCAAATTGACCTCCGTCATACTCCTGTACGTGCTAAGTACAGTCCCCGATCTTTGCTTGGCAGGGACTGGGCCAGTAGAAGTACTGGTACTTTACATCTACTTTGGAGCTATTACATTTCTATACTCGTATACTTTATACTCCTATCTACATTGCTTTCTCAGAATTGATGTAAAAATAGTTCAAATCAAACACTGGAACGCGCAGCTGACGCGAGTCAATATTGCTCAAAGCACGCACGTCTAATCAAACCAACAATCTATATACATCTATCTATCTCCACACATTGACAACACATCCATCACTCACCTGACTTGATAATATTCAAAAGAGGTCTAGGCTCCTTCGAAAGTTCCATCCAACCTCCCTGACCAACAGCAACAATCTTCCCATCAATACAAACCCGCCGCCACCGTTCCAAATCTTCATGGAAATCGATGCGAAGCCGCTCAATCTCCTCATACGTAACCAGATCATCCTGTACATGCTTTCCCCCTTGATACGCCAACATCATCAAACGCATCGCTTCATCTCCAGATAAAGGCCCGAATCGAAGAAATCTCATTTGTCCACCCAGTGGTTCCGTGTAGGGAGAGATTAGGAAATCTTTCTCTAGACGGGGGACTAGAGTAGCCAGCACGTACATATGCTCGCTCTCTTTGAGGATATATTGGCTCTTCTCCCCCGTCTGGGCATCTGATGTGGTCATTGTAATCTGACCCTGGAAGCGATGTGGAGAAGTGCCATCGGCTGGATGGAGAAGCTCTTTTGCAGCCATTTTGAACCTCTCCGATCCGAATTTTCGATACTCGGCCGTATCGCTGTCGGCGACTAGTGCAGCGTGGAGACCCCAACTGGCCACCACCGCCCCGTAAATTGTTTGATGAGGGCCATCTGACAGGAAGTCAACCGGAGCACGCTTTCTGCCTTCGTCTAGCACGAGCTGGCTTCCCGGGGAGAATCTGGCCGCGAAGCTTGGAACAGGACAAGGCTGGCCCCGGAGCAGGGCTTGGAGGCCAGAGGCTGGTCCTGATCGTAATCCGATAGAGCTGGCCATGGCATTTCCCGTTCCACAGGGGATTATACCAATGTCCGGAGCCACATGAAGTGTGTTCGTGGATTTGTAAAAGACATCGACAAGATCGACTAAACCCCCATCGCCAGACAGCAGAAGAATGGTCTGGGGGATCCCCGCGCAGGCATTTTTCAAGAAGTGCGATCGGGAAAGTTCGAGGATTGTCTGAGCTGATTGCGTTTCAAAGACTCGATATTCAAGTCCCATGTATTGGAGAAATGGCTCCACGATGTCGTGAAAGACAGCTTTCGCTGTACCCGTGCCACTCCGGGTTGATATCACGACCTGGACGGGCTCTTCTCGTCGAAGGTGGCTTGGAACATCCACAAGGAAGGGAGATAAGCCCGAGGGTAGAGTCGAAATATCAAGTTTTGAAAGACGAGTGAGCGAGTCATTGTTTCCCCCTCGCTTTGGGCGCTATCGAGAAATAGCACGCGATACCCAGGCGATGAGCTCGGGTTCCGCACGACACCCACAATACCTTTCAAATCGACCCGGCGATCGGTTCCCGCTGCAGAGACCCAGCTGAGAGAGCCTGCAGCCACCTGCACAGCGCTCTCATCCATGGTTGGGTCTGGCGATTCAAAATCTGCCATATCGTCTGGATGAGAGTTGGATAAGTCGCCAATGGTGGGATGTGCGGGTGGCCTAGAGGCTTGGGAGGGGCTGCTCTAAGTAAGCTGATTCTAGCGTGCTCCCGAATGTAACTATAACCACAACTACAACGTAGGATACAACACAGATGGTATACCCTACAGAGACTCTCATAAAAGAGGGTTTGGTTGGGAAGAACGTTAAATATTGAGAAATACCATAGTGGTCTGCGCAGAGTCTTTCTAGAAATTCTAGTCTCGGAGTCTACATAAGTCACTATCGACATGCTCTAGCCTCTAGCAAGAAACCCCCCGCCCAAGAAAAGGAAAAACCACAACACACGAATGTTCATGAAACTGATACAAGAAGATACACATACAAAGGTAAGAATGAGCTAAAGATACATCGTGGGGCCCAAAAAGTAATAAGCAATGGTTGTGAAGAAAAGTAACGCCCAACTCGTGCTCTCGCCCCCCAGGCATCATCATCGTGCACTGATTATGAAGCTTCCTGCCCCACCGGTGGAGAAGAAGCGATATGTTTATCACTCAAATTTACTGCGATGAATGACTTTGGCAATTCAACACTGTCCCGGAATGTTAGCAAGAGAACGACCAAATGAGGGTCCCGCAATAAAAGGTCTGAAGTTCTTACGTGTCAAACTTCGCTTTCAGCGTCTCAATCACCTCTTTCCAGTCATGGTGGGCAGTGAGGCTGCGTCGCGGGGCACAACCGATGGCGTGTCGGGAATCAAGCTGCACGTCGAGAGGATCGAAAGCGTGGCAGCCAGGGCTGATCGAGATCCGAATGGAATACGAGTATGGATTAATCTCGTTCTCGCTATCCCGGGATTCGTAGAGCTCGAAGCAGATTTGGGACAGGTAGTCGAGTTCTGGAATAGCACGGCGGGCGATCTTGGTTTGGATGCCGCCCTCTAGGATACAATTCAATAGAGTGTAGATGTGGGACTCCTTGGTGAAATAGAAGAAGGACTTCGCGTCGTCGGAAGCCTGGACCTCTTCAAGATCATGCACAATCTCCTGCAGAAGCGGGAGCGAGGTGAGGAGGCCAATCTCCAGCTTCTCGCTGTCGGTGATGCCGTATTCCTGGGGCGTGACATAGTCAAATAGAACCTTTGCCAGCTTGTAAAGCTCCCGCAGCTTCGAAAGACGCTCATCCATCTTGCACTTGGTGGAGTTGGAGCCAGGGAATAGCTTGAAGTAGTGATCATAGGAATCGTCCAGCGCACGGAGATGGGGCAGTGCTTCAAGTGCGTGCAGTCGCTTCTTCAAATTGAAGCGGTGCCCGAATGTCTGACTCTCGCTGCGCTCATCGGCCTTGTCACTAGCTGGCTCGGATCCAGCCTTACTGTCAGAGGCCGAGTCGGACTTGGAGGGGCTTCGGCCCTTGACACTGCTCCGGTCATCTTCGTCACGATCGCTGTCGGGCGGCATGAAGACCCACTCCAGGAATTGCCGGTTGTGAAGCGCGTCGAATTTCATGCTATCGTAGAGTTCAGACAGCTTGCTGGGATCCACCTTTTCCGTATCGCAAAACTCGGCAAAGAGCTTCTCCCAACGCTCTTTGAATAACCGCGGGTCCTCTCCTGCACACCAGCGACCTTGGACACTGGCAAGTTCCGGGTTCTCTGATGAAGAGTCTCCCTGGTCCGACGGATGTCCATCTTCAGCATTCTTCGAGGAGGCTTCAAGTCTCTCAAAGTTGTGTCGCATGACACTCCGATGGAACTTCATCAATTCAACCACCGTAGCAAGAACGACAGAGGGCTCGGGAATGTTGCTGTCCTTGGGCCACGCAAATTGAGATGGTGCGGAGCCTTCCCGCAACAAAAGCTTCAGCTTCTTTTTGACCTTGTCCATGACATCTTTCGCGGCGTTGGAATCATCCAGCAGATCCTTTCGAACTTGAATGAAGTCTTCCGGGAGCTCCTTTTGGTCAAGGAATGAGCTTGCCCAGATTTGAGCTAAACGAATATTGTCAGTACAAAAAGACATGCCAAAGAGATTGCCACAAAGGAGGACAAGATCCGAGGAACGTGGACTTACCACTTGTGCTCACTCTCCGCTCGGAACTTGTGAAGAGTCGGACGTTATTCAACGCTTCCTTGTTCATCAACTTAAGATCATCCCGCATATTCAGACCCAGGTCCTGCGCTTGGTATCGCGCCGCATGTGTGGGCTCTCCTCCCCACTTGATGACGAGTTGCAGTTTATCTAGAATCAAGTCGTTTTCTACCGCAGAGAAACGTGAGAACGTGGCGCCAGAAATCGAATCGCTTCGGGTCTGAGACCGACGTGCCTCATTGTCAGCCCCTGCCTCACCAGCTACAGGCGAAAGAGGTTCATCGGGGATGCTTTCGCCCGCGACTGGCGCGGTAGGTGTCGTAGCTGAGCCTGGCTCCCGCATCTCCTCTGGCCTGCGTTTGCGGAACATCGGTTTGATTTGCACTTTCGTGCCAGCCCAACCGCCCTTCTTTTCCAGGGAAGTGCGAAGCAGCTTGAGCTTCTCCATATCCTCCAGTCCCTGCTCCATGGCGATCTTCACAGCCTCAGAAACACTGCCCAATGCGGCCTCTCCTTTAATCACAACTTCCTCTTGGTGGCCCTTGAGAAGATCGACGAAAGGTTGGCTGTGGAAGGTGAACTTGAATTTCTGCTTCGGGGTGCGATCAGCATGGCGAATGACCGCCACCATGCCCTTCAGCTTCCACGAGTGTTTAGACGCCGGGAGTGGGGCGGCCGTGCCATCGCCAGTTTGGTGGATGGAGACGGCGGGAGATTTGGTATTCGAAGGGCTGTATCCTCGAGCATCCGAACGAACGTCCCGAGAAGCCAGGTTGATCGGGTTGCCTGCCACATCCACGCCCTCTACCAGAGCAGTAGAAGATGTAATTGATGGTACACCGGTGGAGACATCCGAGGCAGTAGATTCGTGGGGTTTGTGAACACTTTGGCTTCCATAGAGTCTGGACGTACTGGGCGACTTGAGGAGGGTCTTCAGCGCCTGGCGATGCGACCCTGTCGTACTGCGCCGGGATGAGGCCGGATCTGGGGAGGGCGGTTCTGATGGCTCTGGGGCTCCTTCATTCTGGCGTCTCTCCGCCAGAAAGGTTTCCCGTAGGATATGGGCGCACTTGTCATAGTAATCGTTGTTATCCTTGACGAAGCTCCAGCCATTGACGTCAATCACATAGCTCTGGTCTCCTACGCGAAGCATATCAAACCCGCAAATCCTCTGTCCAAAGCCATTTGAGATCTTAGAAGCAATCGCCGCTTCCTCTTTACTCAGCTTGGTGATATACCGCAGCTCTTTCCCGTGGGTATTGCGTCGGACGAGCCCGTCGACCACCGGGGACTTGCGCGTTTCGGCATGGCAGAAGGTGGGCCCAACAGTGTATGCTTTAACATCCTCGGCATTGTCGACACGCAGGAACTGCTCATAAAGATAACTGGTTCCCGTCTCGGTGACCGATCGTGGAACGGTCATGTTCGGGTCGTACTCGGAACTCTTGTTACCGACTTTGCGGAAGAGCTTGCGGCCTCCACCTCCATACTGTTGATCATTAGGAAAGTAGATGTGGATGTTGTGATCCTCGCCATTGACCGGCTTTTCCACAAACGGCTTTCGGAAAACCTTGCCATCCACGACCAAGGATTCTCCATCTTCGGACATCGAGACATGCTGAGTTCTGGGGGCACCTCCACCGGTTCCATCCTCTGGGCCCTCCAACTTGACGCCTGTCAATTGGTGAATATGTTGAGCCAGCTCCGGCGATTCCAAAACTGGGCCACCATCCCGGTTTACCTCCAACCTCTTGGGAGTGGGGACACCCATCTGGTCGAGGATTTTTAAACACAGTCGCCGATCCCACAAGACTTTCTGCATGGGCAAGTCATTGACACAGAATGGCTTTCTCAATTTTGCATATGAAATCGCCTTATCGAGAGGGAACCCATCGGAGAAGAAGGCGATCAAGAAATCGCAGACCGGCCAATTCTCCACGGCTTCGTCGAGAATCACTTTGTCACCAAAGACGATGACCTCGAAATCACCCTTCGATTGAAGGCGGGTAAGAATATTCTGACTGGGCTTACTGCGGGCCTTGACATCCAGGGCACATACACCAAGTCGCCAGGGTTTCGGACCGTTTGACTCCATTTCGCTAATGGAGCTGGCAGCCGTACTCCCGCTGAATCGCCGGCGAGCCCGACTGGATGAACGAGTCGAGTGGCCAATTCTAGTACTCGAGCGATAATCCTGAGTGGTTTCGGGCCTCGTCGATTTCACGGGAGAGTGTTGACCGGAGAGTCGAGTTCCTTTCACATCCTGTTCCAGCTCCAATGGCGGCGGCACCGATGAGCCTAGGCTTGAGGTATTGTCGATGGTACCTTTCAGCGAGCGCGCATCAGCGAGTGAGGGATCGGTATGGCCATTTTCGGAATCCATGGCATATACCGAGGAGGAGGAGGAGGAGGAGGGAGAGAAAGGTTACGGGAAGAGAACGGCGGGTGGATTATTGCGGTGTGGCAATAACCGTCGTAGTGGAGGAGGGGCGAGGAGTGGGGTGGAATCGGAGATCGATTTGCTTTCGGAGGGGATTTTCTTTGAACGAGTGAATACCCAGAGATCCCTATGTTAAGTGTAGGAGTCTATGAGAGACTCAAAACATGATCGTAGGCTGGAGAAGTCTCTGGTTGGGAGGAGGAAAGTTGACCTGGAAAGTTTCTGGGCGTTTGCTGGTCTGGTTTGCTGGTCTGGGCTGGTTCTTTGGGTCTCCGGATGCAATCATTGGGAAGCGGAGACTCCCGCAGAAGTCTCGGCCATGATTCATGTGCCCATCTGGGATGTTTGGCAGAGGGTTTCTCGGCGGATGGAAGGCAGTATCAGCGATTGAGAAACTATAAAAGAAACAAGATCGGAGGAGAACAGTACGCTAGGTCCACATAAACTAAAAGAGACTCGCACTAATGATACGAAGTGTACTGTACTTGCTTTTTCCAGAGAGGGCCGGTCGTTAAATACTTGGTTCTTTAGACTTGGAGGGCCTATTATTTCTTACTGAGTAAGCAAATATTATACTAGAGACTTATAAGATAAATGGCTATTCTTTTATATATCGTTTAAAGTACGATGAAGTCTTCTATTCTATTGTTCATACCCAAGAACTATATGCAGTACACATACATGTCCTCGTACACTCGCTTTTACTGCTGATCGGGACGGAAGGCGGTGTGGCCGAAGCTCCGCAGAAAAAAAAAACCCTCCAAAAAAAGACAAGAGGGATCACCACAGTACTGAACAGCAACACCATGCCGGCTTTGGCAAACGATACGTTCGATTTGCCTCTGGCAAAGAGGCAAAAGACGGTTCTCGAAGAAAAATCTCGTGGATCGTCCCGTGGAGGCTCCAAAATCTTTGCGCCATTCCGGGTACGTTTGGGATTGAGACAAAGTTGACCCCAGAAGAGATTGGCTCTTGAATGCCATTGATGGTTCTTTAGAAACTGACTTGATTTTTTCTTGCCATTTTTACAGACACTAGGACTTGTGTCACCAACTTCCGTCCCCTTCACATACGTGCGCCTAGGCAAATCCACGTTCCAAATTACCACTTCGGTGGGCCATTCCCTGCAGACCTACGACGTGCGCAAAGGTTTGAACCTCATCTTCTTGACTCGACCGCAAACCCCGGAATCTATCACAGCTACCTATGCCTGGCAAGACAAGGTCTTCGCAGCCTGGGGCCACCTCCGACCTCGGTCCCCCGGTGGCATCTGGGTTTTCAAGCGTGGAAAGCGCGTGGCATCTCTGGATAGCCCTGGACTCGACGCGCCCATTGAGCGACTCGCAGTTTTCGGTTCGTGGGTGGTAGGCTGCTGGTCAGGTGGTCTGGAAGTCTGGAAGACCGGCAGCTACGAGCACTATGCTAGTCTGCGTCCCCGGACAGGGCCCGGCGCATCAGGAGATCGGGTCTACTCTGGTATTATGTGCAACATGCCCACTTATCTCAACAAGGTCTTCGTCGGCCGGAACGATGGCGCAGTCGATATTTGGAACCTGCGCAGCGGAAAGCTCCTTCATACTCTCCAGCCACCGTCCGCCTCATCGCAGACGGGACCCGTGACAGCACTGCAGCCCACCCCGGCCCTGTCTCTTCTCGCAATTGCCCACAAGGATGGCTCTCTGGCCATCCAGAATGTTGATTCTGGCGAATTGGTCTTGTCGTTGAGGACTCCTGCCGCTCGAGCTGCTCCAGTCACTTCGATCTCGTTCCGTAGTGATGGGCTTGGCGCGGGCCACGATGGCCGCATGGCCGGCGTGATGGCCACGGCCGCTAGTGGCACTGGGGATATCACCATGTGGGATTTGAACAATGGTGGTCGCGTGGCGGGTATCCTTCGAGGTGCCCACCGAGTATCCAGCGCCGAGGCGGCAATGGGTGTGAATCGAGTCGAATTCTTGGACGGCCAACCCGTTCTGGTCTCATCCGGTGATGACAACGCGTTGAAGACATGGATTTTCGATGAAACCCCATTCTCGCCCATTCCTCGGCCATTGCATTCCCGGGCTGGTCATTCAGCTGCCGTCAATACCGTGGACTTCCTCCCAGCATCTTCGGATGGCTCCGACTCCGGCGGGAAATGGCTTCTCAGTGCCAGCAAAGATTGTAGCATGTGGGGACTCAGCCTTCGCAAAGACAGTCAGAATGCAGAACTCTCCCAGGGCAATGTGGAGCGCAGGGCTAAGAAAATGGGCCCATCAGACCAGTCCAATGCGACCTCGGCCGAGGTGCTCAAGGCGCCTGAGATCACCTGCATCGCCAGCTCGCTTAACCGCGATGGTGGGATGGGTGTCACTACCGCAGGCCCGGTTTGGTCCAACACCAAATTTGGCAGCACTGATGTCTCCAATGCCACCGGCTGGGAGAGCGTCGTCACCGGTCATCGGGGCGACAAACATGCTCGCACCTGGTTCTGGGGCAAGAAGAAGGCCGGACGCTGGGCGTTTGCGACTAGCGATGGAACGGAAGTCAAGGTATGCCAAGTTCCCCTCTAACGTTTCATATGGGAAAGGTTGTCACTAACCAGTCTCCTTCTTGTATAGAGCGTCGCAATGTCCCAATGTGGCACATTTGCAATCATCGGATCGGCCGGTGGTGCTATCGACATGTTCAATATGCAGTCCGGCCTTCATCGCCAAAGTTTCCCTCCTCGCTTGCCCAAGTCCCGGAATCCCAAGATTCAACCCGTAGACCATTCGGCCTCGAAGCATACCAAGGCTGTGACGGGTCTCATGGTTGATAACTTGAACCGGACAGTGATCAGTTGTGGCCTGGACGGCAAAGTCAAGGTTTGTTCTTCGTTACTATCTCTTTTTACCTTTCACACTCGGTTCCGCTGACCAAACTCTCTCTCGGTTAGTTCTGGGATCTTCTTAAGGGCACCTTGATCGACCAGCTAGACTGGCACCCCATGGCGGCCATCACGGGGCTCCGTTATAGCAAGACCAGCGAGTTGGTCGCATTCAGCTGTGATGATCTCTCCATCCGCGTGGTCGATCTCGAGACCCGAAAGCTTGTTCGTGAGTTCTGGGGTTGTGTCGGTCAGGTCAATGATTTCATCTTCTCCAATGATGGACGATGGATCGTGGCCGCCTCGATGGATTCCGTGATCCGGGTGTGGGATCTGCCCACGGGGCATCTCATTGATATTTTCCGAGTGTCGAGTACCTGTGTCTCGCTGGCGATGTCCTCGACTGGTGAGTTCCTTGCCACGGCCCATGCCGGCAGCATTGGAATCAGCCTCTGGAGCAATCGCAGTCTATTCATGCCTATCTCTACCAAGAACTTGGATGAGGACGTCATTGAGGATGTTGGCGTGCCTACTTCATCTGGTGAAAGCGGTGCAGGACTTGTCGAAGCCGCCTTCGTGGATGCACCGGAAGTGGACGAGACCGATGGACCGGTGCTGGCCACCGACCAGCTCCAGAAAGACATGGTCACTTTGAGTTTGGTTCCCAAGAGCAGATGGCAGGCACTGCTTCACCTAGACTCTATTCGGGTATGTTTTTCTATTTTCTTCTTCTTCAATCTGCACTTCTACCGGCGGCCCAATTGAGATTGCAGTTGATTAACGATATCCTAGGAACGCAATCGTCCGAAGGAGGCACCCAAGGCCCCCGAGAAGGCGCCATTCTTCCTTCCCTCCCTTCTTGGCTCTGGTAACTCGCAGTCTGCTAGCGAAACCGCCGCGGCCGATGCGGCAGAGTTGGAAGCTCTCACCCAAAACGCCGCCGCCGAAAGATCCCGAATCTCCAAAATGCAGTCTGGTGCCCTGGGCTCCTCAGAGACCCCTATTTCGCGATTGCTGGAATCTGGCCATCTTTACGGTACATACGACCCGCTCATCGAGCATCTCAAGTCTCTGTCACCCGCCCGGGCTGATCTGGACATCCGTTCTCTGGATCCTCGAGTACGCAACGGCTTCTCGGAGCTGGCGACCTTTGTCCAGGCTCTTACCGCACGCCTCAAGCTGCGAAGAGATTTCGAATTGGTCAATGCTTGGATGGCAGTGCTCTTGAAGATCCATGCCGACACCGTGGGACTCTGCTCCCACCGAGATGAACCTGAATACCGACTCCTGCGCGAGGCTCTGACCTCCTGGGCTCGCGAGCAACAACAAGAGGGTGATCGTTTGGCTGGTCTTGTTGGATACTGCCGTGGTGTCGCAGGATTCCTCCGGTCTGCCCGTTAATGTACTACGACGGGTCAAAAGGAGGGGTGGGTTAAGATGTGTGGGGTTTGTCTACAATGTGTATAGACTAAACCGGCGTATAAATCAGGAGCATAGCACCTTTACTTGTTATAAATATTACCTTGATGAAATATCAGTAAAATAAAGATTCTCAAGACACTCCTGTATTCGATCTTTGATTTAACATGCCCGGTTTAGAGTATAGGCTGATCTATGGTGATGAAGATTCAACTGCCGGCATCGCATGGTGGATACTCACCATCTCCCTCCAGCGCCCACCAAATTTTGCGGCTGCAAATCCACTTGGACCATCACTATTCCCCATCCTATCAAATCACCACTAAAATCTAGGGATATTTCCCCCCACCACTACCGCTTACGCCCTCTAGTGATCCTTCGGTGGCCATGGGAATCCCGTACCTGACCAAGCATCTTCTCCCCTACGCCGATTCGGTCCTACTTGGTGGGGGCCCGGATGACCAGAACCTAGACCAGACGCCGTGTGTGCGAGCGGTTGTTATCGACGGCCCCAGTCTAGTTTATCATGTCTACTACCGATTGCTGGCCTGGATGGGCCCTGTCCATGATGTCCTCGATATGCAGCCGACTTGCAATGAAGTGAGTCGGGCGGTTGTGACTTGTCTCGTGGAATTGTCCCGCCGGGGCATCGAAATGTAAATCATCCCACACTACATCGAAAAGCCCACCATTCTTCTTTATCTTACTATGTTCATTTCCTTCTTTGGCCCTTGCTGACCAAAGTCCAAGACACAAAATCTGCTTCGATGGGGCTCTGCCCGTCTCCAAGCGAGAAACGCGACGGGCACGAATTGAAAAGTCCAGGCATCGACTGGAATTGTCTCGCCGCAGGGCTCCCACATCAACCAACGAGTGGCGTGAAGAAGTTACCATCCCACCCACGCAGCTGTGGCAGGGTCGAAACCTCCCTGCACGTTGGAGAAATCTCCCCGAGAACCCTTTCATGGTCTCTGCAGTCTTTGAGGACCTGCGGACTCGATGGAGTAGAGAGCAGATCCTACAAGAGACACAATGTGACCCGAGTCATCTGCCAGACGGCGATTATCCCTGGGTGGAGATCACAGTGATGGTCCCGGGAGAGGCAGATGTAGAATGTGCGCACGTGTCAAGACTCACTGGCTCGGCCATCCTCACAAACGACTCGGACTTGATAGTCCATGACCTAGGGCCGCATGGCGAGGTTGTGTATCTGAATTCGGTGCAATTGGTCGAGGACACTGAGGATAAAGCCAGCTCGCAAATACGAGCTATGCGATTGCATCCTAAGGAACTTGCTCATCGACTGGGAATTAAAGATATTCCGCGTTTAGCCTACGAGTTGAACGAGAACCCCCATCTTGGTTTCTCGGAACTCGTGCGCCGGTCCAAAGAGAACCAGGGAGTGATAGACCACTCTGATAAATATCATGATTTCCTTCGTGAATACCAGCCCGACACTGAGCGTTCCTTCGCAGTTCGAGGCTCTGCATACGTCCAGAACTTGGACCCTCGAGTATCTGAGCTGTTCTGGCAGTACGAGCTCCCTGAGGTCTTTTGTGAAGCCGATGAACCGCACATATACCTAGGGATTCTCTTCGAGGATCATTCTCGGCGATGTGCCTGGGAAGTTGGCCGCTTTTATAGAGCCCTGGGTTATTCACTTCTTAATCAGGCACATTCGCCAGCAAGGCAATTTACCACCATCTGCGAGTTTGTCCGCCGAGGAACCCGGATTATCGCCGAGCAGATTACCCTAGGTGGCTCCAAGACTGTGGCTTCGGACCTATCGATGCTCCAGAAACGTCTAGATCTCGCCCGGGGTGTATTCAAAGCTGCTGATCCGTCAACCTTCTGGGTGATGTTTGCCATAGCTGAGATCTATCGTGACCCCTCGAGCCAGACTTCACTTCCAGGTGCGGTGCAGTTGGAGCGATACCTGACAAGAGGATTCGTTGGAAAAGGAACAGAATGGACAGACGTCCATCTTCTTGCCCAGATTCACGCCGTCCTATATTCGCTCCGGGTGCTACAGCAGCTCGTACGCTTCTTACCGGATGATAACCTTTCGGGCTCAAACCGGCTTATGCTCAGCAATCTTCCCCCTTTGCACAGTCTTCTTCTGTCACGTCAAGAAATCATTCAACGATTCTCAAGTAGTGGCGAGCTGGCTCATGGCTTGGTTTACCAATTGTTCAAAACATACGGCTGAAGTTATGGATCGATACGGATGAATGAACACTCGGTCTTAGAGATCACGCAATGACATACATAACCAGTTCCCTCTGGTCATAATTCTGGATATACACATAAAAATCCCAATTTTAAGGGATGTTGTCCGAACAAAATCCAGTTGATAAAAACATCGCTAAGACCACGCAAAACCCAGAATGCAAAATAAGAGAGGAACGTTCGTTCCTGAGAGGGTGAGGACGAGCCCTCGAAACCTTCGTAAACAAATTTTGAACCCATCTGTAATGGATGAAAATAGAATGAAGAGCCAGAACCTTGCGGACAATGAACGAGAGAGCACATGGCCAAATTGCGACATGCCGCCGTTCTAGGTCAACTGGCCGCGGGTCTGAAGGAGGGCTGACCATTCTCATCACGCGGCTGGAGTGCGAATAATGTCGCCATGAACTTCTCCCTAATCTTCATCTAGACCACTAGGAAATGGCATAGGCAGCACCTCCAATGATAGAGAAATGGCACAAGGGGCATGAATGATAAGACCAAATCATCACTTTTCGGGGGCATCGGGGAGTCGTTCAATAACGTACTTTCCACGAGCGACGCTCATGATCGGAGCACCAGGGATTTTGCTAGGATGGATATCAGCACATTGAGCCTCAGTAGACATCGATAGATGGAAAAGGCTTACCGGATGCGTCGTTTGAGGTCACGATCGTTGGTAGCAACGATGTAGACGCGATGCTTAATAACACGATCAACTAGGCAGTCATCTGCATACGTTCCCTTGTGATCGCACTTGATTCGCTCAAATCGTGGGTCCTTGGCGACACGCAGGGCCAAACGGTATTTCTGTCCCAGTTTTTCCAATTCTGCAAGCACACAATCGGTGATGATCGGAATACATTTGGCATATAGGCAGTCCATCATGGTCGGAATGACCTCCAATTTGTGCTGAATGGTGTGAGAGATAAAATTGGTGTCGACGAGCACCGAATAGGGCGGGGAGAGGGCGGTGTTGTACTGGAAGAAGAGGGAAGAAGGGGCCTGGGGTCTGCAGCCGTCGCCAATCTCCATCAGTATTCGCCATGAGTCGATCGAAAGATACCGAGTACGTATGTCACTCACGCTTCTCGCACCACTTCATCCTTGCCAGATTTCCCGGCTTTGTCGTTCTTGTCTGTCTTGTCATTTGCCTTCCTAAACCTCAGTCAGTATGATAAATCTTCCAAGATACGCGAAGGAGAGGCGAGGGTAGCGGAGACTGACAGGCGACTGTCGCGTAGCTGAATCGTGCGCTTTGCTACTGCAAACTTGCGAGTCTTCTTCTGGACGCCCATCTTGACGTTGCTGACGAGAAGGTGAAGGGAGGTGGAGGCGGTAGTGTTGGTGATGGCGGTGATGGTTGGTGATGGTTGGTGATGTCTACAGAGAAAAAAGATAAAAGATTTTGGGAGTTGCTTATCGGTTCTCTGTTATCGCCTTATCGCCTTATCGATCGGTGCTTATCGATAGTCTTATCGGAGTGGACACCTGACCAACCAAATTGCCTAAATTGCGGGATCTCTTAGCTACAGAGACTAGAGACCAGCTACTAGTGTCTCTCTGCATGATGATTCCAATGCGATGAGTCATTCAAGAACCTTTTACCTATGATATTATTTTCGTCTGCTTTTTCCAAAATACTCCGCCCCGCGATACTTGAGAGTGGAATTGCCCTTGAAGCTCACGACTGGAGCGTCATTACTGAATACAAACATGCGTGAAGCTGTGAAAATGCCATCGTCTGCCGAGAAAACTTTTAGCATCTATGAGATTACCGAGCATATCCTTCTCCACCTGAACGATCATGTGGAAATAATCCGAGTCCAGCGCGTTTGCCGTGCCTGGAAAGATGTCATTCAAACATCCCCAGCGCTTCAGAGTGCTTGCTGGTATCAACCCTCCAATGACAGGAATTCCCAAAAGCGTTCAATCTCGGACCAGCAAACACAATCATGGAGATTGAATCCAGCTTTCAACCAGATAGGCGTCTCAATATCCGAAGATTCCATCAAAGGAGTACATCTAGCAGACAATATTCAAGAAAAGGGTGATTTCAGCCTGCAGAAACGCATCTACGACAAACCTGGATCATGGACAACCATGCTGGCCACGCAGCCCCCCTGTCAGCGAATTTCGGTTGAATGCTACGGCAACTATTCCGGTGATGAAACAATGTTATCAAGCCACCGGCTTCTATTTTGAAAACTCTCAAACTAACAAATTCCAGTCACTATCTCATTGAATCCACGACAGGCTGTTTCCTTATGGGCGATATCATGGCCGTTCTAGCAGAATGTCAGAATCGACAGGAATGTGGGATAGATCGCTGGGCTGGAGTACGCCACTATACAGGCCGGTTACTCAGATGGTCAGAGAGCTACTGGGATGATAATGCTGACTGGAAAATGCATGCCCAAATGTCGAATGATGTATCTGTCAAAGTCGCCGTCACGATACCTTGGGGAGGACCGGAATGTCCTGCATTTTCCCTTCGGCGTCTCCATGGCAGCAAAGTCTTTCTGCATGAAATGATCTTGCATAAGATGATCACTGATGATGATAGTGAATATCAGTGGGATTACTGGTACCATGGGGGCTCCCTCGGGAAACCTGTGTGCCAGACAGAACCATATAAGGCAAACCTGCTGGTTGTACAGCAGCTTCAGGAAGGGTATCTGTCGAATTGCAGTCATATCTTCCGCCTACTCTCTGATGTGAAGTAATTATTAACGCTAAGTATCTCTTTTGCCCTAACATCACTTAGGATCTAGAGTTTTTCGCACAAATACATATTGATGGATTAATTTATGTACGGATCTATAAGGCAGTCGCCCTGGTTGCCGGTAGGTCACCAGAGAACTAGATCCAAAAACATGAAATCACTTCTACCTCTTACCTCTTTGATGCCTCCTCCTGCTCTATGTACTAATATCCGACCGCTTAATAACTTGATGGGGAAGAAAGAATAGAGAAGGTTCTTATATCTTATTTCCTCATCAGACTACCCATTCATAGTGCCCTCGGAAACCTACCGGTAAGCAACTTGTGAAGTTGTGTAATTTTCTTGGAGAATCAAGACTCATGTGAAATAAAGGTTTAGGGTCAAAGCCACTGGCACTGATCTTATAGAACTTGATAAATACATTATTATTTGGCCGCGATATGGTGATGGACACTTTTTAGCCTCTCTGAATGGCGTCATGAAAACTAGCACATAGAAGGCGGGGAACCAAAACAGTATATCGTGTTACAAGCAATGATCTATTAAACTAGATAAATATAGAGGTGATTCTCACCTGCTCCTACCTACTATAGCTTCTTGCTCTGTCTATTATGTACTTGCCCTACTTACACCCGGTCGCGCAAGTTACAGACCCTACTACTTACGCGGGCGACACCCGTCCGACTACTAACTACTACACCTAAGCCTACTATATTACGCGGCTAGTTCTTAATATACTCTTAGCCCTAAACTAGGATCAAATTCGACCTAAGGGGGGAATTGCTAAAACGACGATATAAGATTGCTAATCACACGATACACACGTATTTAGGATTTAGCATAGTATGAAAAGCTATAAGTTACCGTAATGACTAGTAAGCACCTATAGCGAATAGGAGAAGCGGGATTAATTAATCGAGGCTTTTGGATAAATTAAATATTTAATTAAAGAAGAGAAATCTACAGAAGGCACACGTTAAGGTATCCTTATAGGGTAGAATAGTACTTCGGGTAGAAAAAAGCCAAGTCCTACGTATTTATAGGAATATATATAAAACTATATATAAAAGTAGATTAGCTATGACCTAGAATATTGTAGTAGTAAGTATAGTAAGTACTATCTCTACATTTTCCGATATACCCTCTTAGCCTCTTAGCTAAAGTAGGGAGAGTCTGGAGGCACCACCTGGGGCCTGATTTCTGCTTGATTACTAGCCTTTCACGCCCGTTAATTACCAATTTAACCACCCCCTTCCTTCTTACATACACGCATCTGTTCCACCTTATCTTCTATCTTCTGCTACTACTAGGAAAGTCACATGACCCACACACTAATTCAAATTAAAATCTATCTACCACCCCTCCCCCCTACCCCTACCAACAACCATAGATTCTTCATAGTCTATTTTACTACCTACACTACCACTAGACCCACCACAATTCTACGAAACCCGTGACCTTGTAAGGAAGGCCCTCCAGGAATCTGCTACTAAACAGGGTTTTGCCCTAGTAGTAAAGAGATCTGATAGAAAGAGGGTTGACCTATATTGTTCTCTTTGGCCAGATCCTACCAAGAAAGGTCCTTCGGTCTCATCTAAGGCTAAATCTCGCGAGGTTATCAAGATTGGGACTAATTATATACACAAGATTTAAATCTGGCTACGGAAAGATAGGAAAAACGTTATTCTAGACCGTTATGAGGTTGTAGTTAAACATAGTAACCACAATTATAGCCTAATTCCACTAAATCTTCTAGTTAAACTTCGGCAAGAAAAGAGAGGAGAAAAGGAAGAGCGACTTATCGATTACTTTGAAAAGGGCCTAAAAGCTATAGCAATCTCAATGCTTTTAGAGTCTGAGAAGAGTCTCCCGAACTTAAAAGACCTCTAAAAACTCTACGCCCGAACGAGATCAATTTTCCTTACTGGTTGTATATCGATTAAAGCAGTGATAGAGAGCCTACCTAGGTAGATTATACAATATAAATTAAATAATAGGCAGCGGCTAATCAGATTCCTTTTTATCTTAAGGATTAGCCTTTAATTTCTTCGTGTTTATCTAAATGTTCTATAGATAGATACTATATATAAGACTAATCGGTAAGATAGGATAAATAAGAGAAAGATAAGAGAAAAGTAAGAGAAAGATAAGAGAAAAGTAAGAGAAAGATAAGAGAAAAGTAAGAGAAAGATAAGATAAAACTAATTTACTTAGGCTAACTAGGTATAATATACTAATGATTAATATTGTCGGATAAACCTTAACAAGGAAAACCTTCTACGTAGCTTATTACTTTGTTAATAATAAGCAAGAATCGTTGTATCTTTAGATATTTTAAGCTCTTTAAATATAGCTTATATAAGCAAAGATTTAAGCTCTACGTATTATCTTCTCCGACGACGCAGACTCTCTTCTTAACGTATATAGAGAGATCTTTAAGGATTTAACTTATATACTCTGTCTCTAGTATATTATAAAGAGTATTGAAACTTATATACGGCTAATAATTTCAAAGTAATTACTCTTATAAGACCTTAATTTAGACGTTCTAAAGAAGACTATCGAGGAATAGTAATCTGTCGGATTTACAGGGTCAGCATAAATCCTTCTGCGTGCACAAGCAAGCGAGTGTGCACGGTTGGTCAAATCAGTATACGATTGGCGAAGAATTGTATAGGTTAGGTCAGGTCGTCGTACGATTCGGCTCAGAATCGGAAGTTAACTTATAATAGAAGAATGCTCCAACTTCATCACAATCATTAAACTTGATTCAACTAGCTATGGAAAACAGGCAGTATTTATAATCTTCATGAAATCGAGGCAATACGTCAGAATAGAATCTCATAGAAATCAGGAGAATAGAGTGTTGAAGCTCTTTCGTTATGTATGCAGTCTGTTGATATCAATCGTTGAAGATCGTCGTCACGTGTACGTTCCGTCGCATTCTATCAAATTCGATAACTCTCATAGGCTTATGCACCCATTCATGTTGACATAATCTATTAAGGCTAAGTTTATATAGATTATATCGGATTTACGCTGTGTGCATAAACCCTAGGGCGTGTGCTTGTAGGCGCACACAGGTCGATCGAATACCACGATTATAGAAGAGTGACGAAGGTGTAATAGAGGTAGGTCGGCAGCGAACAGGTTGAATAGTAGAGGGTTAACACAGTTTAATCAGAATTACCTTGAGCTCTATTCGTGAGTGAAAATGGTGTCAAACTTATTTAATTTAACTAGGGAAACAGGCAGTATTTATAACTTTTGGGTATATAGCAGAATATCACAGGAAAAGACTGATAAAAATCCGAAATAATATAGGGGTATACAAGAGTGTTAGGAAACTCGTTGTTCTTTCTATCCGATGCAATAGTTGATAATCAGTATCGTATATCATAAAGCGGTGTATCGGGGATACAGATTTATGTATCCGATTGTATTAACGCGCGTATATATCCACGGGCTCGCTTAATGTAGGGATATATGTCAACATGTGTGTGTGTGCGTATCCCTGCAATAAGCGAGCGCATGCATGCATGCGCGCGCTAATGCAATCGGATGCATAAATCTGCATCCCTATACACCGCTTCATGATATACGATGCTGATTATCAACTACTGCATCAAATGGAAAAAGCAACGAGTTTCCTAACACTCTCGTATGCCCCCATGTTATTTCGGACTTTCATGACTCTTTTCTTGTGACATTCTGCTATGTACCCAAAGTTATAAATACTGCCTGTTTCCCTAGTTAAATTGAATAAGTTTGACGACAATGTCATAAGTTTGACACCATTTTCACTCACGAATAGAGCTCAAGGCAATTCTGATTAAACTGTGTTGACCTTCCACTGTTCAACCTGTTCGCTGCCGACCCACCTCTATTGCACTTTCGTCTCTCTTCTATAATCGTGGTATTCGATCGACCTGTGTGCGCCTACAAGCACACCACCTCAGGGTTTATGCACACAGCGTAAATCCGACAGTTCTCATATATAAACGTGTCCTCTAGGTTCCAGGCGCCCCCGGAGACTCAAGACCCGTGTTTATTCCTAATACCGTCACAGTTACCCTGACCCTAACCCTTTATGGATATAGGGCGCTCCATTCGTAGTGGTCCGAGTCTCGCCACTATTACTTCCAGGTATATCAAGCTAGAGTCCGAGACTGTATTCCCCGCCCGACCTATTATCCTCCACGGTAGACTGAACCCTACCCTAGGGTCCACCATCCAGATCCTAGACCTATCAACTAGACCTAGAGCTTTCTTCGGTAGGTGCCTCAGATCACTTGATTTATACGCAATCAAATTATCACTTCCTAGGATTTGGATCTATCTCAAGGTCCTATTTCATTTTGACAACCCTTTATTACATCGGTACTAGCATCTGCAATTGTATCGGAGTCCATACTATTGAAGATACTGGAAGAAGGGCTGCGAGACTCTCTATTTTTGATCTTATTCCAATGTTTTTAGGAGGCGGCTATAAATTTGGAGCTCGGCTGCTAGGGATCTCCCTTAGATCCTAGGGATTTCTCCACCGTTTATTTGCGTCTGTAGTGTTTCTAGAAGCCACTGTATATATTATTATACAGGCTCAAATAATAACGATTTCGTTGAAAAATCAGGCATAAACTTACGGAGTTTTGGTAAGCCTTATTACCAGAATTTTATTAGCTTCTATTAAATTTAATCCAGATAGCTAGTACGCTTTTTCAATCAGGATCGCCGCTTCGCGTGATGGCCGCATAGAGACGGTTAACGCAAGAGGTTGGGAGGATATTCCTGATATGATTGCAAAAATCGAGACCCAGGATTTGGCAACTACGACGTGGGTATGAGTGAACGTGGTGGGACTGCAATTGTCGTGGTAGGAGTTGGCTGGGATGACTGGTACAAGGGCCTCCAGTCTAAATGTACACCTCCATACATTGATATCAAAGGAGACCCCCATACGATCAGGTTCTCGGAGAAATTTACTACGATGAAATACAAGTCCTATACCCACATTGAGGATCGCTCCACAGTTCTGTGGAAGAAAAAGTACGGTACAGCCTCCCGCGAAACATGTTGTTTACTGGGAGTGCGATTGGAGACAACAGAAAAGGTATCTTGGATAATATCGATTTTGCTTTAAATTCCCCTTTGAACACCTACCCCATTGACGACGGCTCAGCTATACTGTATCAATGGCAAACTTTTGTCATTGTGGGCCTCGCTCACAGGTAACGCCCTGGTAGTATATAAGGGCAATTTGAATCCTTCTTGTTATTCTTTCCAACTCTTCTCCTAAAGACAGTTGCCCCTTTCATCCGCGACATGTCTCCTCCCAAGGAAACTGGAGGCAGAGAGCAATCGCCTTCCGAACAGGCCGCAAAATGCTCCAACTATTAAGTCCAGATTGTCATATACCATTTCTGAGCAACCTGGCGTAGCTTTCTGCGATCGAGTTTGTTTGACTTTGTCCGTGGGATCCGGTTAACAAGCAAAAACAAGTGAGGCATCATGTGTTTCGGTAGCGTGCTCTTAACTCCATTCTGCATCTCCTCCACCAATTGATACAAGCTGACATGTTGAGTGATCGGTGAAATTGTTATCGCCGAATCAGGGGAATTCGGAAAAATGTTCGTTGGGGCATGGGCCAGATAAAGAAAGGCCACCAAAACAGGGTCTTGAACGCCATTGATCTCGCCCAGTATGTCTACCACGACACAATCATCAGGCGAAATACTTTTACGGAGGACATGCTCGACCTCTGTTGCCTCAACACGTTCGCCATTTAGCTTTAACAACGTATCTTTCCGTCCCATGTGCTCGACTGTGCCATCATGCAGATATCGACCAAGGTCTCCAGATCGATAGATTCGGGAATTAGTTGCGCGGGATGGGTAGAGATTAGCAATCCACCGAGGAACAGCACTCAGGAAGCCAACGTCGGGCTTTTGACAGAGGTCGTCCAAGTACCCACGAGAAAGGTTGGGGCCCTCTATCAAGATCTCACCAATACTGCCAATGGGCACCGGACGCTCAGGGGAGGCTGGATTAGCAATCCAAATAGCGCCGCTGCCAGCCTTCCCGACAACCGCATTCCGGCCTGGTTCAGGAGCATCGTTATAAGCACAGAAGGTAGCCGCCTCGCTCATTCCATATTGATTCACCAGCTTGACATGAGGGGTCCATTTTAACAGCAGGTCATTTGACATGGACTCACCCCCAATGCAAACCAAATCCAAAGACGGGACATCTCGCGGGTCAATTTGGATGGCAACCGTGGGAGTGAGAAAGGTCATGTTCGCTCGCAAAGTATTGATGTTTTTGATCAGAGCTGGGATGGTTTTTTCGGGAGTTGGAACGCAACAACAACCGCCAGCAGCCAAAGCTGTCAGGTAATCATTGTTACTGATATCGAATGCATAATCATCAAACTGGAGGACTCGTGAATGACGGGCCAAACCAAGGACCCGGTTGTAATCGCGAATCGCGGTGGCATATGATCGGTGTTCCTGAATAATGCCTTTGGGCTGGCCTGTGCTGCCAGAGGTGAATAATATCAAACAGGCGTTTCTCGGTTTCACTGTGGGACAAATCGTGCCGGTAGCTTTGGGGAGGGTTTTAACGTTCCAGGCGACCGGGATTATAGTCTCCACAAGCGAAGCATAACTTGATACGTATGCAGGGGATGTGAGCATGATATTCACGCGAGCACGGTCGACCACTGATTTAAGAAAGACAGGTGGGTCGGAGGCGTTGATGGAGATATAGGCACCGCCGGCTTTCATGATGGCCAGACGAGCGACAATAGCCCACATCGACTTTTCAAAACAGCTGAGCACAAAGATTTCAGGACCAACGCCAATGCTCAGAAGGTACTTGCCGAGGCGTGAGGTAAGGTCATCCAGCTCTCCATAGCTGAGATTACCATCCCATGAACAGACGGCGGGCGTCTCCGGATGGTGTTGGGCGAAGTCGAGCGCCATCTCATGCAGCAGCACCTCGTTGAAAGGGGAAACGTCCTTCGCGAAGCTTTGTGCGAGGAGGAGGTCTAGATCGGAATACAAATCCAGATCTTGCAAAGCAGTTAAAGGAGATTTATGAATCGAGTTCACGACCTTATTGAAACAATGAAGCAGACTCATCGCGAGATCCTTGGATATGCTTGAGTTAGAGAAGGTCAGGCTCGCGCGCAGGCTACTGTGGTCACCGGTAATATTGAGCCATAACTTCGGCCTAGTGATCTAGGATTATTTCGTGAGTCCGGATTCCGTAAATACTGGATCAAATACAATCTTACGGTTGAGTTCACAACATGAGGTGCCTCGTGAAAATGGAACTGATCATCAGTGTACCGAATGGCCGAGCTGAGAAAGCGACCCTGGCTATCGGGAGGTAAGGAATCACCAGGAAGTGCGAAACTAAGGCCAGCCTTAACTCGACAGAAGTCTCGAACGAGGTCCTTTAATAGACGATCCGCAGTGAATTCAAGGGAATACGACTCGGAATTAGGTTTGAACGTGTCACTTATGTAACAGGAATTGGACGAAGGATGTAACTCGAGGTATATGACCCTAGAGGGGGAAAAGCAGTTTATCACCAATGACCAACAAATATTGAAAACTGTTTCAATGTTGATAGCCAGGGCTAGTCGCTCGTCCAAATGTCTCCTGTATTGAGAATGAACCACCTCGACGATATGAGACGTATTGAGAGCAAGAGGGAGGCTGACGACTTCGCCTGGTACGAGATGGGAAACCTTGTCTTCCAGAATAGGGGTCAGGGGGATTGAGGTACCGGTATGAGTGTAATGGTCGATTGTTGTGATTGATGGCGCCATGGTGAAGGACGAGCGCGATATTCGACATACGATACAGATTCAGCGCAGGAAGCGATCCGGGGTTAAGTTATTTGCGGGAGATGTAACTGATTGAATGAAACAGGTTTCCATAGTCTCAATTTATAAGCTTTGGTCGAGTTGCTCTAACGTTGATTTGCAGTTCTAGACAGGAGAATTCCGATTTATATTTCATGATCAATGAATGCATAATAGTGGAGCCATAGGCAGTGCGGTCACAGCACGAATCCAGAGATTTTCTGATTTATCGATCCTCCTCTTCGTGCATTTACAGTCACAATGGCTGGAAATTTTTGGAGCGCAAAGAAGGCATTTGCTTCCGCGCCTGCCGTAAGACAAGTGCGGCAAACACCATGTTCCAATCAAAGGAGGCAGGCAGTGCATGCAAGCTGCGGACTAACATATCCTTTACTGTGCGTATTCCAGTTATGTGGGAAAAGTCAAGTCGCCATAGTAATCTTTCCCTACTAAGATCTCCATGGTTCACTACACTCCTTGCTTTTTCCGGTGTACAGCCAGTCTGTAAGCGGGTCTATGGCTTAACCATTCGAGGTTCCATCCTTGCTACAGTAAAAATCATGACGCGATGCATCATAATGCGACCAATTGTCCAGGTCTCGCGCATATAGTGCGCCCATGCTCGACCCACAAAGAACCATTTTTCTGATGAATCATCGCCTCGGTGTTAGCAGTGTTTCCTGGGAATTGATAGTCGCACCCCCAACTACTTAAGTATGTGACTGGGTTAGTTTTGGTAGCACCGGCTAGGTATTGTGTACACAGTTAAGTGGACAGCATATATGCTCCAAAGCAAAGGCCAAATTGTTTCATGGAGTGATGTGTAGATTCTCAGTCTGGTTGGAAAACACCCCTGGTTCCCACACGCCAGCCCTCAGCGGTCACAACACCGGAGTCGCAGCTTGGCGCAAGAATGCGTTCCTCAAGGAAGGGATGATATCCCTCGGAGGAGGATATATCCCGACAGTTAGTTACGGTGGTTAATTAACTAACGTAATTCGCTGTTTCGCCGCAAGAAATAGCCAGGGCTTTCAGGAACTGTTACTGCAAAGAAATGAGCTAACACAGTCAAGCTGGATCACGATATCCACCTACCCACACTTTTCCTATTATGCGGATTTAGACGAAGCTATTGCCATTTTGGATGCCTTGTCGCTGTTTATCGGGAAGGGCCTTGTTCAGAATGCCGGTCGGTTGGCACTCGTCAAATGTTGGACGGCTTAGCTGAAGGTTCATGACGCTCGCCCGCAGGTTCGCTAAAGCACTGAACTCTGCTTTTTCTCGTGTTCGGTTTTGAAGTCTTTTTGTTGGCCTTCGAGGGCGATCCTACAATCCATTGAGGGGAGTGGCGTCCCGAATACCCGTCAAGGAATGGTCCTGCAGCCATTCGAGTTAGTAACTTTTCTTTTCTACCTGATTGATATGCCTCCTACCCTACGTAAATTGGGCAATCCCTAGAAAAAGCAACAACAGCTAGATTCTGGTGTATGAAATCACCAAAATCGCTAATTTATCAAATAAATGAGAAATAACGGCCCTTGCCACTAATTACCCGAGATAGTCTTCTAAGTGACTAATCGAACCTCTTCCGTGTCATGTCTACAGAAGGTGTGCGCTGTTCCGCTCGCTTTAACGACGCTGTTCGTTGAATGGGCATGTGTATCTTTGAACCAGGGTCAGCGAGGTCACAAATTTGCGATGAGGACCTGTGTACTCCGTATTCGCGAAGCTTAAATCAATCATTAATTAGTTTAGGGACCCACTGCTCCGCGAGTGTCTCTGCATGCGATCTCTCACCGCAGCTTGCGACAGTGATATGACTGATCAATCATGCGGTGTCTTGTGATTCAGGGGTCTTATGCGGTGAAAGAAAATAAATAAAGGATAGACCTTACCTAGGTAGCCGACCAGTTATGATGCAAGTTAATATGGCCTCTCAGGTTCAGAGTTAAGTGAAGAATTAAACGATAGCAATTATTCGTTACGCTGGAAAAGGCGGTCAGACTACAAAAGGTGGACACAGCGTAAATTATGAAAGCCGCCGTGGACGTATTGCAGATACTAATTTACAGTATGTTCCTCTGTGTAACATAATTTTCGTCGGTAGGTTAAGTCAGCCGCGAGTCCTAAATGAAGCGGCTAGGCTATATAAACGCTATTGGATACGAGGGTCCCCCAGTAAAATGATTGAAGTCTAAGTACAAGAATCGTGAGACACTAGCTACCTGGAACGAAAACCAGTGCAATCTCTGAATTCAACATGGCGCCTGATCAACCGCGTCGATTCTACATAATCACCTCTCCCAGAACCGGATCAAACCTTCTCTTGAAGATTCTGGCATTGGAAGACCAGCCCAATGTCGCATTTCGCAGAAACGGAGGCTATTTTTTTATGCCGCTGGTCTTGTTAAAAGCAGAGCTCCGTTGTTCTTGGAAACACGTTGAACAGCTAAGCGCAGACCAAAAAGCACATGTCGAAGAGTGCATGAAAAGCTGCTTCAACGAATTCAATGATCATATTGAGAGTGCAGGTTCGGAAGGAAAAATTGTGGTCGTTAAAGAGCATTCTAATTTTTTGACTGATCCGGTTGCTAAGACACGATTCTTGTATGGAGAGGAGAGCATTATTCAAGAGATGCCTTGGACGTTACGAGGTCCAAATGAGTTGGTGCGAACCACGAGCCGTTCAGTTCTTAACGAAACAATACTCTCGGACGAATTCCTGAACACATGGCGACCGGTTTTCCTCATTAGGCATCCAGCACTGTCTTTCCCTTCGTTTTATCGCGCCTCTGTTAGGGCTGACGGTGAGGAATTCACAAAGTCGACTCCAGGACGTCGCGCCTGCCAGATGGTGATGACCATGCGATGGACACGAAAATTGTACGACTTCTATGTCGACTCCTTTAAAGAATGCAATATCCGAGCCGACCAGGAAACCGCAGAGGCCACCTGGCCCATCGTACTGGACGCGGACGATATCATGACCGAGCCTGCAGTACTCGTCAAGCTCTGCAACATCCTTGGGCTAGACAGCGATAGACTGCGCTATGAATGGGGCCCTTCGAATCAATCCCGGCCTCTTTGGGCGCAGGCATTTCGAACTACACTCGACAGCTCTACTACAATCATCACCACAAAGGTTGCTGGCAATGTGAACATCGACGAGGAAGGAAAGAAATGGAAAGAAGAGTTTGGAGAAGAGGACGGCCAGATGATAGAGAATTATGTCCGTGCCGCGATGCTGGACTATGAATTCTTAAAATCAAAAAAGCTTCGGCTGTGATGATACACATGTATTATTGGTGATTTCTCGCAGTCAATATGGGAATTGGAAGATGCGCGCTGCGCATGCTGAGGCCCTGAAATGAAACAAGTTGTTGTATCCTGCAAATCGCTCTTCTTTGCGAGGGGTCAGGGTAAATGATATCAACCAACCAACCAACCACTGTCCATAAGAAAATCGATATTATTAACTCTATGCATCTTCCGCTAGGGACGACCCTTGTTTCCTAAGCTTTGTGCTCCAGTACACTTGTATGGAGCCTTGAGTCCTTCCAGGGAACTCCTGACCGAACCGTTCCGTCACCTCCGACCAAGTCAGGTTTTCTTCCTTCCTGAGCTTCACTAGTAGGCGAACCTCTCTTCGGACCACGACAACGTGCTTCACCCGCTTCTATGTGAGAGATGACTTGAGAATATATGGGCTAACGGAGACGGGATGTGGATAGAATGTATGTTCTTTATCCCTTTCTATGTGAGAGATGACTTTATAATATACATGCTGACGGAGATGGGATGTGGATAGTGTGTAAGTGCTTTAACCCCCTTCCTTCCGCTTGCGAAGTGCTATGAAGGTTACCTTATACAAATCAATGCTAGTAAACTCCGCGTTTGTGATGCATAATACTGCGGCATCGGCAAAATTTTATCGATGTAAGAACTGAGAAGCACACTATGGCTGATGTCCAACTGATCTATTTCTATGCTAGCATATCAGAATTACACGCCTATTCCTAAAGAATGTGTCACGAAATAACTGTGGGATTGGATTGGATAGGGTTCTTCACTTGCCTTGGTTAAGGTTTTCCTTATTGAGTTAGGTTTCCCTGCACCATTATGCGAATGCAAAGGCTTCTTCTATCATGGTTCTACATCTATTGTCGATTCCCTCGGACATAGACAGTATCATAGAAATTGCATGGCAGCATGGCAGCATGGCCACGTGGTAGAGGCGATCGCGTTTGCTCAGCTAAGGGGAGAGAATTCTTGTCGATTGCCAGTCTATTGCGAAATGGTCTTTCCAACATTATCGGGCGATGTGCGAGATATACAGTGAAGATCGTGTTCCATTGTTTCGGACGGAAATCCCCGATCCTTCTCAGGGACGCATACATTCTGTACAGGAACTAGCTGCGCTTTAACAATTATTAATTTTCCATTTCCCCAACCTCGACAGAGTCTGATGTGGCTCCCAATCAATGGCACAGCCCGCACAGTACCATATTACCAGAAGAGCGCAAATATAGGAGCGGATAAGACAAAATAGGAAGTCCATTTATTAGACCGTATATACAGTAACAACGCCTCTTGGACGTCCACGCTACCATCTTGAACAACAACATCCAGAAACCAGACCAATGTGAATGACTAAACCAAGTATGTCCGGGGCATATAATCGGTCAAGATTGCCTTCAACCGACGCTCATCGTTGAGGAAATCAAGCGGAGGATCTTCTTTCTCGCTCACGTAATTTATGTTGTCCCAACTACCCATACGCCTAAATGAAAAGGATCGGTAGATCCTTAGCTTCGTCTTATCAAATCTCAAAGCAGGGTTTTCCTTGCTTGTAAATATCCACGAGGGGTTTCTAAGGTAATCCTTTCCTCTATCTAGCTCCTATCCCAGCTTAAGCTTCCATTTGGGATCAAAAATCAGTTCGTCAAGTGCTGACTGAGCTGTCGATACAGGGACGCCTTTAAGCTGAAACTTTTCCCTATATTTTTTCTAGGATCTTTTATCTCGACCTAATAATAACCGTTAAATATGATAAGATAATTTAAAGTGAGTTAAGTATCATTACTCACGTATAAGAACGCGTAGAAACCCCCCTATAGTGACTTCAAAGTGAATAAAATATGGGTTGGTTAAGTCAAAGGAGAATATTAGTTGGTTGAAGAGAAGTTCGTTTACTATATACCCTCCTTTTAGCCCAAAAATACTATGGCCTATCTGAGAGGATCTTTTAAGAAATGTGGGGCAGTTCCGTAGTTCACGCCCCGGAAGGACTATTTAGGTGTTGCAGGGGTCCGTTTTTGTAGTCGCAGGGATCCGTTTTAATAGTTGCAGGTAGAATAAGCAAAGGCTTATTTCTAGGTGGAGCACAGACTCATCCACATAAACGTCTTCAGGACATTCAAATCGAGCTAATGAGGATATCCGCGCGTGCAAATTATTATTGAAATGTATGATAAGGTTCAATTCAGGTGTCGAGGATAGCCGTAGCTTACTCACCTTATATAGGTTAACTATAAAGAGCTAAGTGGTCCCTACCACTATCTACTATTACTTAAAACTCTTTCTGTCAATCCGCTAAAATGCACCTTCTCGTAGAAGCAGCTCTTATTAGAGTCCTTATTCGCACCTCCTTAGGGGCTTACCTCGGGGTCATCAACCAGGATCGCCAATGTCTGATATAGTCTAACGATAACCATAGATACACAGGTTGCTCTGAACCATTTGCAGAGATCAATAGAACCAACTGTTCGGGTATTAATACTACCTATTCGAACTTGACTACAATATACTAACGGTTTCGCAGAGCTGAGTAAGATCGTGAACGGCAAGCGCAAAGATTTCTCCACTCTTAGTGTAGGAGCGTGTAGGACTAAAGATAGCAAGAATATCGCTTAGATAACGGTCATAGATGCTGGTGAAGTCACTTTCTTCAGTCAGAGCAGTGATAAGTCAGCGTATACCTTGAATTATAGACTACTAGTTAGCAGTTAGTACAGTGCGTCTGATTACAAGTTAATATCCACTACTAGCCTATCGTCCACGCCGATGATCTCAACTACGGCAGCATTCTCTTCTTCGAGCACCGTTCCTATCTCGGCTACAGTTTTAAATAGCAAGTCTGATTCTGCGACTTCTACGTCGAACTGCGTCTGTTATGAAAGGCAAGAGAATCGTATCCGATGTCGAAAGGACAAGGTTATATTGGTCTGAGATTGTGCCTGCTTTATGTTTTCGATTCTTTCCTACTTTTTCTAGTTTCAATCGAATTTATGTTAAGAGCCTCCCTCCTTTTTCCTAGTCCGTAAAATATCATATCTTACATTAAATGAGTATATCTTATCGATTCTGTTGATCTTCTTAGACAAATAGAGTTTCGAGATTCCTCATAAAATCCTACTTCGCTTTGAAGGGGAAAACATATCGAAATCATAGTAATAAACGTAAGCAGTGGTTCTTGTGCTAATTGGACACCTGTGCGATCGCAGCATCCTAGGTGACTCTACAGTAAGCCACACTAAGAAGTCGTTGCTATAAGGCAAGCGCTAGCGCTATTTACTAGAACTACTAATCAACCTGTTTACTGGAGAAGTGTATGAACTTATCCTAGTTTTACAAGAGTATATCTCTTCAGCACATTTCAGTTTGTAAGGGAGAGCGCTGAGAGGAACAAATGTTATTAGAGTATCTTACACGAATTTCCAGCTATCACTGTCACACTTTAACACTCTTATCGGATGCTAGCATTAGCTTCTTCCACGAGCTTTCCGTTTGTGTTATGTGCGGATCTACCGGTAATTCCGGAATGGCCAGCAAGTCCACGGCAGAGGCGCTCTATCTCGGTTGATATAGCTTACATTTTGTTCGTCGGCGAGAACAAATACCTACCGCTAGAAATCTGATCGGATCACTTATATACTTTCTGTGATATAAGACAGACCGACGGCTGTAGCAGATCGTACATCGAAGTTAGTTAATTAGCGGCACTTCTGGTTTATCAGTTCTATAATACTAGGATAAAAATAATGTCGGAGTGCACTCGTTAGAGTACAGTAGCGGCTGTTCCCTCGCCTCTTTCAATCTGTGTCCGTTAGAAATATAGTACAAAATTTACTTAAATAGCGAACAAGACTTCACAGTACCTAGTATAGATCCACAGAGTTGTACCCAGAAACCAACGTATAGCGGTGACAAAAGTGGAAAGTGGCATTACAATATAGAACAGCAGCTTCGTTAAGCAAAAGGCCCCTGTTTAACTGCGAAGGATTCTTGAATAATATAGGACTGCGAATGCGGTCCACGTTTGATATCTGTGTGTACTGAAAGTAATTTCTGCGACTACTTAAATGGATCCTTGCAGGTATCAATCCCTTAGAGCACAAAAGAAATCCCGCTTATTGTATATCTGAGGAGAGGAGAAGGAAATACTAAGCTACGGACAGACGAAGACCTTAGACAAATAATTCGGGATCACAGTGGTCAAGCAGTAGGGATTCGTTCTGATAGTCGCAGGGCAGGGATCCGATTTGGCGGGGTCCGTAGGTTCACTGAGTGAACCAAATAGTGTCACAGCCTTCAGCCTCAAGCTTTTACCGGCCTCGCCTGAACTAGGGGTACCGTCTTCGCTATCTCCGTGATCCTTAGATTTAGTTTACTCTATTGAATAACTACTCGTCAACTAGACCAGGGACCATTTTAGTGGTTGCAGGCTCGCAGGGATCCGTTTTGGTGGTCGCGGCGATTGAGTAGCTAGCGTTGCAAACGTTGCCCTTCAGCCACTAGGAAGAGGTCGTGGCTATCGTGTTTAGGTGAATGACTACTACGGTGTGATGACATACTGTAGATTCGGCTTTTTGAAGAAATAAAAGGCATATGTCCCCCTCTTCCGCGCTCTTAGTTAAGTAGCTAATACTCGCTTTATGAGTCAAATCCAGCCCTGTTACCTGCTCCCCGTTACAACCTCGATCGAAACCATAACCTTGCCGGTGCAATGGCTAGTGCCTCTCGTGGATCGAAGGGAAAGAAATCACTCCGACAGAAAAGAGACCGGCGCAAAACGAGCCTAGAGAACAAGTCACATGAGTTTAGCGAGATTTGTGGGGCAGATGTATGTTTAGGCATACGGATTCGAGATTCTGGGCAGGTCTTTATCTTCAGCGCGGATCCGTCTGGATTTTGGTCGTTCCTTCGCTCTCAGCTAGTATGTCACGGCAAAGTATCTCCTGCGTTCTAGGTCTTCTGACCTTTCTAGGGTTCCTACTACCCGACACC